TCAATCCTCTTCTTCAAACGTCATTTCTCCCCTCTGTGCAACCACAGATCCTTGAGCACATTCTTCCCAATGTGCCTCCCAATGAGTGTTTATTGTGTGATTGTGGTGTTGTTTTTGTGCTGGTTGTGCCTCCTACTCCCATCAGGTAGATGATGGGTCTCAAACCATCCATGAGGTAGGGACTTCCCCTGCATGAGAAGACAGGCTCCAAAGGACTTGTCCAACGGTCAAAAATGGCGGATTCATAATGTGCTGTAGAGGGAACTAAGGGGCAGATGGGGCTTGTAAACCTGGGAAGGAGGTAAACTTCTAGCAGAAGGAAAACTTTTATCCTAAATCTCTGCTGCCTTGTGGGATAGCTTCCGGAGAAGAAAAGGCTAAGAAGTAAACCCTACGCAAATCCAGAGTGGAGTCCCCAAGGCAGTGGGATGGCACTATGTGCGCCTCCTTCTGGCAGCTCCTGCAGCCAACAATGTCTAGGCAACACGATGACCATATACATACATAATAGACAATCTTTATGGAATTCCTTCAAATCACAACAAGTTCAAAATGAAATCTTTTCTCTCAAAGTCTCTGAAAATCTTTAAATGAAGCAAGGTACCAAACTTTGTAAAAGCTCTGTAAAGCTTTGTGTATTCAACAATGATGTCCAACACAAAACAGTAATTCCGGATATTGACTACTGTTTCGTAGAATTCTTCATCAGCGTGGTGGGTGGATATAGAATGCTTCATAAACCCATCTTACTTCGAATGAATGTATATAAATGAAAATATCAAATTTCGTGGAACTGTGCTCATGTAATAATGTAGTCACTGCTCTGGTGCCAAACGTCTTGCTCTGCTTTCCTTTGGTTCACAAAGGAGGGGAGGATCTTGTGGTCTGGGCAGACCAGGACCTCCACGCACACTGCCCAGACTTGCGCCTCAGGGAGTTCCCTTTGGTGCTGCTAACACAGCGGTTTGACTCCATCCCAGAGGCGCACTCCTTTGTCTTTTGAGGCAGATGCCAGCCTCAAGGTGCCTCCTACCTTCCACCCGCAATTCACTTTAAGATTGCCCCATGTTTCTAGTCCTCCATCCTTCCCGGCCAGAGAGGTTACCTCGATCCCGTCAGGTTCCTAGTACAGTCATACCTCAGATTACAGACACTTCAGGTGGTGCGTTTTCAGGTTGCGCACCATGCCAAACCCGGAAGTACTGGAAAGGGTTACTTCCGGGTTTCGGCACTCATGCATGCGCAGAAGCGCTAACTTGCGCTTTGCGCATAAGCGCCGAATTGTGACCTGCGCATGCGCAGCGCTGCGGGTTGCGAATATGCCTCCTGCACGGATCACGTTTGCAACCCGAGTGTCTGAGCCTGAGGGCAAGCAGGTGCCAAACGCTTTGACAGCTCAATCTCTAGGCTTTCCAAACAGTGTCAAGCTCTCTCCTCTGAAGTCTGATTCTTTTCTTTATGTATAAGAACAAGCATTAAAGAGGCCTCCTAGCCCGCTCACAGGTCCTTTATAAGACCAGTGGTAACAGCTGGCCCTGGATAATATTAACCACTCTCAATTTTACCCGTGGACTGCCATGCTGTGGGTTAAACCACAGAGCCTAGGACTTGCCGATCAGAAGGTCGATGGTTCGAATCCCCGCGACGGGGTGAGCTCCTGTTGTTTGGTCCCAGCTCCTGCCCACCTAGCAGTTCGAAAGCACGTCAAAGTGCAAGTAGATAAATAGGTACCGCTCCGGCAGGAAGGTAAACGGCGTTTCTGTGCGCTGCTGGCCACATGACCTGGAAGCTGTACGCCGGCTCCCTTAGCTAATAAAGTGAGATGAGCGCCACAACCCCTGAGTCGGCCACGACTGGACCTAATGGTCAGGGGTCCCTTTACCTTAAATTTAAGATGTATTTTAATTAATTGATCGCCTCTTTTTATGTTCTTATGTTCTTTGTATACCGTGTTACAGTGGTACCTTGGGTTACATACGCTTCAGGTTACAGACTCTGCTAACCCAGAAATAGTACCTCAGGTTAAGAACTTTGCTTCAGGATGAGAACAGAAATTGTGCTCCGGCGGCGCGGCAGCAGCAGGAGGCCCCATTAGCTAAAGTGGTGCTTCAGGTTAAGGACAGTTTCAGGTTAAGTACAGACCTCCAGAACGACCTCCAGTCCGCCAGTTATTTTGCTTGTTATGAAAGACTATTGCACGGATTTAAACCGGGATCACATGTGCCGCTCCCTCCTCTTATTTGCTGCAAAACGGAACGGATACAATTTGGGAAGTAAAGTAACATCCTATTTCTGGTTGGGACACTTTCAGCAGCGGAGGGAGAAGGGAAAGCATCAGAGCAGCCCAGCGCCTCTGCTACAATAACTTCTTACAAATAATAATAGTAATAACAATAATAATGAGAGCCAGTGTGGTGTAGTGGTTAAGAGCGGTAGTCTCATAATCTGGGAAACCGGGTTCGATTCCCCGCTCCTCCACATGCAGCTGCTGGGTGACCTTGGGCTAGTCACACTTCTCTGAAGTCTCTTAGCCCCACTCACCTCACAGAGTGTTTGTTGGGGAGGAAGAGAAAGGAGAATGTTAGCTGCTTTGAGACTCCTTAAAGAGAGTGAAAGGCGGGATATCAAATCCAAACTCTTCTTCTTCTTCTTCTAATAATAATTAAAAAACAACAACAATAATAATTGTTGTTGTTGTTTAGTCGTTTAGTCATGTCCGGCTCTCCGTGACACCCTGGACCAGAGCACGCCAGGCACTCCTGTCTTCCACTGCCTCCTGCAGTTTGGTCAAACTCATGCTGGTAGCTTTGAGAACATTGTCCAGCCATCTCATCCTCTGTCCCTGTTATGTATTGAAGTTCTCACCCTGCCCACCAGGAGTATCGTGTATATAGTTTTCACTCAGGTCCACGTCAGTTACTTTAGCCGGGAAACCCTGGGTTGTTGTTGCTACAATGTTGACAGCCGGCTGCCTATAAAAGCAGGCCGGCTGAGCTGTTTGCTGTTCAGTTCTGTTCCAGCTTACAAATAAAGAGCTGCTTTGGAGAAATTGCTGTGTCGTCTGCTATGTCTACCCACTGTTTAACACTGGCGACGAGGATGGGATTGATCGACATCAGAGCACAGCCAGACGCAGCCACCCTCTGAGATGAGCTGAATCACGGAGCTGAAACACTGAGCGAAATCACGGAGCAGAACCAATTCAGAGCTGACTTTTCTGGCTAGAGCACTGTGTTCCATCCATCGCCCCACATCGGCATCGGAACCATGGCTTCAATCGTGCCTCTACTGCCATTTGCCCCAGCCTCTGAATCATGGGACTCCTACCTCACTTTGTTCGACTGCTACCTCCAAGCAAATGAGCTGACAAGAGGGTCTGTAGAGCAGAAGCGGTGCCTCTTCCTCAGCCTTTGTGGCCCCGAAGTGTTCGCGATGGCCCGAGCATTGGTTGCGCCTCTAGCAGTCCAGTCAGAGCCATGGGACACGATTCAAGAGAAGCTCCGCAACCACTATGCGCCAAAGCTGCCCAAGATTGCTGCCCGCCATGCGTTCTACCACCAGAACCAGGCAGAGGGGGAGTCAATTAACAACTACACTGCTGCCAGCATATTTAAAAGACTATGTTCACTGGACAAACTGCACATGTAAAGCTGTATGGTGAATAGGGTCAATTAATATGCTTATGTGCCTTACTGAAACCAATAAGGGTATTGCTGTATGTAATGGAACCACTATGATTGTAACTAATGCCTTATCTCAGTGGGTAGGGGTGTTATGTATTGAAGTTTTCACCCTAACCACCAGGAGTATTGTGTATATAGTTTTCACTCTGGTCCACGTCAGTTACTTTAGGTGGGAAAACCTGGGTTGTTGTTGCTACAATGTTGACAGCCAGCTGCCTATAAAAGCAGGCCGGCTGAGCTCTATGCTGTTCAGTTCTGTTCCAGCTTACAAATAAAGAGCTGCTTTGGAGAAATTGCTGCGTTGTCTGCTATGTCTACCCACTATTTAACAGTCCCCTTCTCCTTGTGCCCTCCATCTTTCCCAACATCAGGGTCTTTTCCAGGGAGTCTTCTCATGAGGTGGCCAAAGTATTGGAGCCTCAGCTTCATGATCTGTCCTTCCAGTGAGCACTCAGGGCTGATTTCCTTCAGAATGGATAGGTTTGATCTTCTCGCAGTCCATGGGACTCTCAAGAGTCTCCTCCAGCACCACAATTCAAAAGCATCCATTCTTCGGCGATCAGCCTTCTTTACGGTCCAGCTCTCACTTCCATAAATCACTACTGGGAAAACCAAAGCTTTAACTATGCGGACCTTTGTTGGCAAGGTGATGTCTCTGCTTTTTAAGATGCTGTCTAGGTTAGTGATCCCCTTCATGGATCACTGCCTTGCCGTGGCGAAGGGGCTTGAATAACTCAGAGAAGCTATGAGCTATGCCGTGCAGGGCCACCCAAGATGGACAGGTCATAGTGGAGCGTTTTGACCAAACGTGATCCACCTGAAGGAGGAACCGGCAAGCCACTCCAGTATCCCTGCCAAGAAAACTCCATGGACAAAGATAACAGGGAAAACCATAACTTTAACTATATGGACCTTTGTTGGCAAGGTGATGTCCCTGCTTTTTAAGATTAAGATTATTTTTAACAATAATAATAGCAACAGCAATAATCGCTCCTTTTAGGGTCTTCTGAACCTGGGCAGACCCTGCCGACGCCTCGTGCGACCCAATCACAGCAATACTAAAAGCAGAATTTTTGCTACTGATTTGTGTTCTTTGCGGTGGGGAAGGATCTCCTATGCGTACCCGGGATTCCCCTCGCAATCAGCGAGATGGGCTCCTCTTCATCTTTTCTTATCTCTCCGTTCCGTCGATAGAGACCGCTGTTCGGAAGGCGCTAGGCGCGTGCGCGTCGACCGTGGGCGTGGCCTCGCGGCCCGCTTTGTTCCAATTGGATGGGGTTTCTTCTTTTTCCCCCTCTCTCCTGCGTTTGGGCTGTTTCGTCCAATCAGGAACCACCCGGAAGTGAGCGGAGGCTGCTCCGGATTCCGCGTGGCTTTGCTTAGTTCCACCCACGTGGAATGCAGGAGGGACCAAGCAGAAGGTGGGTGCCGTGTAATGGGGGGTTGCGCGTGATCCTGAGGGAGATCCTAAAGCTGTAGAATGGGAAGCAAGAACATATTGTGTTGTGAGCCGCCCTGTGATCTTCGCGTGAAGGGCGGCTTGCAAAACTGATCAATAAAATAAATAAATTAAGTAACTGAATAACGGAACTTAGACAGCAATCTAAGTGAAGAAGTCGGATAAAAAAATAAGATATCCCGTCCTTGGTTTACTTCGATGGTATTAAAGAGAGAGAGGAGAAAAAAATGATGTCGATTTAGTTTTTATATTGCTTATTATATTAAAACATGGCGTGCTCTGGTCCATGGGGTCACGAAGAGTGGGACACGACTAAACGATTAAACAACAACAACATATTCAAACATATCTCTAAGGGGTTTACAGAAAACTGAAACAACAACAGACAAGATGAACAAAAATATTACAAAAATGCCCAGTTATATAGCATTGGGGTTCAATGTAACTTTTTCGTTGTAGAGAGTGTGAAAGTAGTCCCATAAGCAGTGCCGGATTTACGTGCAGTGGTACCTCGGGTTCCATACGCTTCAGGTTACAGACACTTCAGGTTACAGACTCCGCTAACCCAGAAATAGTACCTCGGGTTAAGAACTTTGCTTCAGGATGAGAACAGAAATCGTGCTTCGGAGGTGCGGTGGCAGCAGGAGGCCCCATTAGCTAAAGTGCTTCAGGTTAAGAACAGTTTCAGGTTAAGAACGGACCTCCGGAACGAATTAAGTACTTAACCCAAGGTACCACTGTATAAGCTAAACAAGCTATAGTTTGAGCCCCACTCTCTTGGGGGCCCCCAAAAAAATTTAAAGGGAAAAAACCTGGATGTACGTTTCCAGAATATAAGATAAAAACAAATAAAATAAAACCTACATACAGCAACAGTGTTTTTGTGTTGTGTAGCCTCCTGTGATGTAAGTAATGGGCCCTGCCTGCTAGCCTGCTCCCTAAAATATCACTGGTTTGCTCATTTCTATATTAATTATTTTGATGAAATACGTATTTTGTTATGTGCAAATGGCTTTAGCTACCTGTTAGGTCCATAAATTACCATATAGCATCTATTCAACAAATAAAACAGCAACAATTTGTTGTTGACAAAGGGCAGCTGGACATATAAAGGGCCCCATTACCTTCAGGAGCTGAGGGCCTTGTCAAACCTAAATCTGGCCCTGCCCATAAGGAAGATCGTCACTCCACATTCTTATCCAGGGACTGATTGCATTTATATTGAGTAATGGCTATAGTAGTAGGTGTCCCCAGACCCATTCTCTTCTCTTTACCCATCCACTGGGGAGTTGGAAGTATTCTGACAAGGCGATTCATGAAAACAATTCAATTCAATAAGGTCCTGCTTATTCAAACGAGCTTCTTAGCAGGCTTGCACGAATAAATTAAAATAAAATGACACTGGGGTTACTTTCAAGGCTGATCTGTTTTCCTTTGGCCTCTCTGCAGATGTCTGAAGATGCAGAGAGAGAAGCAGGCATGGGAGACTCCGAGAGAGAAGATGGGGAGGCTCTTGCTAAGGAAGGGAGACCACGAGGGAAGAAAAGGTCTCTTGCTGCTGAGGGCGTCCTGCAACCGGTGAAGCTTTGCAAGGCTGAACTATACAAGCCGCCCACCAACGAGGAGCTGACACGCCTGAAGGAAACAGAGAGCCTGTTTCACTCCAACCTTCTGCGCTTGCAGGTCAGGCTAACTTAGCAGGGTTAGTCCTTTTGTGGGCAGGTGTTGTGGGAGAAGGGTTCCTGTAACTAATTATTTGTACTTGCAAGCATCTGCATGGCACCCAGAATTTTGCTTCAGTCTATGGGCTTTCCAATTCTTTCTGTGTGTTCAAAGAATCATTAACTTTCTCCTGTTCAGTGCGTCTAAGATCTTGCCTAGCACTGGCTCCAGTCACTTTCCAGACTCCTCTTTCTCCCTCAGTTCTCCAACTACGCTGTCTTACTGTGAAGCTTTCTTTCTGCTGTTCTGTTTTACCATTGACCCTCTACTCACGACCACAATCTGTTCCAGAGGCCCGTCCTTATGGCGAAATGGGTTGCTGGTAGAAGCGCCATTGTGCGCAGACGCATTCAGCGGCAGCCTGCTTCTGCGCATGTGCAGATGGTGACAGTTGTTTCAGTGCATGCGCAAATCGCAGCAAACCCGGTGTTTACTTCTGCGTTTGCTGTGGTTGCAACTTGTAACGGGCCAAAGTAGAATCATAGAATCATAGAGTTGGAATAGACCACAAGGGCCATCGAGTCCAACCCCCTGCCAAGCAGGAAACACCATCAGAGCACTCCTGACATATGGTTGTCAAGCCTCTGCTTAAAGACCTCCAAAGAAGGAGACTCTACCACACTCCTTGGCAGCAAATTCCACTGTCGAACAGCTCTTACTGTCAGGAAGTTCTTCCTAATGTTTAGGTGGACTCTTCTTTCTTGTAGTTTGGATCCATTGCTCCGTGTCCGCTTCTCTGGAGCAGCAGAAAACAACCTTTCTCCCTCCTCTATATGACATCCTTTTATATATTTGAACATGGCTATCATATCACCCCTTAACCTCCTCTTCTCCAGGCTAAACATGCCCAGCTCCCTTAGCCGTTCCTCATAAGGCATCGTTTCCAGGCCTTTGACCATTTTGGTTGCCCTCCTCTGGACACGTTCCAGTAGAGCGGGACATAAGTAGAGGTTCTACTATACATCCTTCTCATTTCTTCTTAAGCTGTTCTTTCATTCCATCTTGTCTCACCGTTAGTTATTGTTTGTTTTATATATTGTATTATGTAATGCCCGGTGGGAAACCAGCTAGATGGGTGGGGTATAAATAATAAATTATTATCATCATCATCATCATCATCATCATCATCTTACTTTTAGGTTGTTAGTAATAGCAATGAAGTTGTATTTTTTTAAAGTGCTAATGTGGCGAGTGGCGTCTCTCCTTTCTCCCCTGTGCAGATTGAGGAGCTTTTAAAAGAGGTGACTCTCAAAGAGAAGAGGAAGCAGAAAATCGACTCCTTCCTCCGCGAAATCAATGCCTTGCTGAGCACAGTCCCAGAGACCCCGCAGAGAGACGTATGTCCAAGATGCATGTAGTTTTACAACCCAATCTTATGCATGTTCACTCGGAAGTAAGCCCCCTTATGTTTCATGGGGCTCGCTCCCTAATAAGTGCCTTTAGAATGGTGGCCTTTGTGCTTGAGGTGTAAACACTTGCTGCAATCCTAGCAGTTTTGTTTAAACCCAACAAACTGTGATGAATCCTAGCTGTGGTTTGTTTGAAACAAGCTAACTTCAGAGCACAGATCATGAAGCTGGCTTCTTTCAACACATCATACTTAAGATTAGCCGCGGTTTAGGGTATGGATGTAACATGGAACTGTAGCTCCTCAGAAGTAGGAGCTTCCAATCTCCTTGCTGCTACCCCAGTGGAGAAGGAGAGCTTAAACGTACATGTGTGTCTGCGGCAGCAGACTCATTTCCTTCACAGCAAACCATATTTTATCATGGTGTTCAAATGTGGCCACTGAAATGGACCCTAGTCCCAGCATTGTACATCATAACTGTTAGTGTCTTCTTCCCAAGGGTCTCTGGCAAAAAGAGGCTTTTCCTTTTTTTTTTTTAAAAAAAAGAATAATTATTTAGAATTCAACAGTAACAGAGGAAAAAACCACAGTAGTTGCTACATCTATTCATTACAATTAACCAATTTTAACAATATATAAATAGTACTAGAAAAATTACACAACATCACTTTTAACTTACTGAAGTTTTCATATTACACTTTTATCTCTTTATCTCCTTCTTAACATATCCAAAAGAGAAAGACCAAGAAAGGAGGCACAAAAAAAAGTGAAGAGGAAGAAGGGGGGGGGGAGGGAAAAAAGACAAAAGAAAACAAACACATTTATTTTGCTTCCGATAAGACTCATTGTATTATTGTTTCTACAATTTTTTCACACAGTTCCAAGTTATTGCATTTCTTTATTTGTTTTCGTCAGATATCAAAAAACATTATATTTGTTGTTGTACAAGGATCACTCTATTTCTGCCAGGAGATATTTGTTATTGTAACGCTTTTCCAAATACTCCTTAAAGATTTTACATTCTTTCTGTACTTTCTGTTTTGGACAACATCTAATTCTCCCTGTCATCATGACCATCTGTAGATATTCTATCATTTGGACCTGCCACTCATTTATCGTAGGTGTTTTGCCACTTTTCCAATTTCTTGCAATTAAGATCCTGGCTGCCAAAAAGAGAGGCTTTTCCTAGCTCCGTTCACTGAGATCCTTTTTCACTGGCGGGTCCCATCCTGTACTCAGGGGGTGCTTTAACCTTTTTCTTCTACCCTGTCTCCTCCTAGATCACCAATCAGTCCTGGCTCCCCAGTGGAGTGAAGGTCCCCCTCCAGCAGCTTCCTTTCTGCGTCAAGGGCCACTTTCGCTTCCTTCCCCCGCCGAGGTGAAAGTGGTGGGGAGTTACCTGCTGGGCACCTGCATCAAGCCTGAGGTCAATGTGGATGTGGCAGTGACGATGCCCAAGGTTAGTGGCACTGGCACAAGTGAGAGGCAGACCACGACCTGTTTAGCTTCAGCATTGTCTTCATTCCACAGGGCCTAAATTTGCAATAGGTTTTGTGGTTTGTGTGTGTGTAGTGCACGCCAACAATGGCATAATAATTTCTAGATTCAGGTAGGTAGCCGTGTTGGTCTGACGCAGTCGAAATACAGTGGTGCCTCGCAAGACGAAAAGAATCCGTTCCGCAATTCTCTCCGTCTAGCGGTTTTTTCATCTTGCGAAGCAACCCTATTAGCGGCTAAGCGGATTAGCGGCTTAGCGGCTATTAAAGACTTAGCAGCTTAGCTGCTAAAAGGCTATTAGCGGCTTAGCGGCTTAGAAAAAGGGGGGGGGAGCGGAAAAAATATCGCAAGACTAGCAAGACGTTTCGTCTTGCGAAGCAAGCCCATAGGGAAAATCGTCTTGCGAAGCAACTCAGAAACGGAAAACCCTTTCGTCTAGCGGGTTTTCCGTCTTGCGAGGCATTCGTCTTGCGGGGCACCACTGTAAATAAAAAAATTGTCCAGTAGCACCTTAGCGACTAACTAAGTTTGTTCTGGGTATAAGCTTTTGTGTGCATGCACACTTCTTCAGATACCAAAAGCTTATACCCGGAACAAACTTAGTTGGTCTCTAAGGTGCTACTGGACAATTTTTTAATAATAATTTCTGTTGAAGGCAAGTTTCAAAAAAAACGTTTTTGTAAAGGTATATATCTTATGAGGCAATCCTTCTTGCTGGCCCTAGTAGGACCAACTTGGCCAGTTAACCCTGGTGATCATTTGATGTCTACTGACTGGGCCCAAAAAAAATGACCGCTGAATTTTAGATTTTTATTGATATTGATGCTGCTTTTTATGTTGTACTTTATGCTGTTTTTAAGTCGCACTTTAATCAGTGTTTTATTTTGCTGCTAGCCGCCCTGAGCCCGGTTTTTAAACTGGGAAGGGCAGGGTATAAATAAAAATTTATTATTATTATTAATTGCTGTTAGGAGATCTTCCAGGACAAGGACCACCTAAACCAGCGCTACCACCGCAAGAGGGCTCTCTACCTGGCCTGCTTGGCTCAGCACCTGGCCAAGAAGAAGCTCTTTGGGGCCGTGAAGTTTGCCTACGTCAACGGCAACCACCTGAAGCCGGTCGTGCTCCTGCAGCCGCAAGGTGAGGGTGGCTTTCCGCCTGCTCCTTGAGCCAGACCCCCTTCCTTTTTCTTGGTCTCCCTGTAATAGAGCACCAGGTTTGGGCAGAAAAATAAGTGATGGGTTCTGGTGGGCTGAGCAGGAGCGTGATGCTGCAATGTAAGAGGCAGGTGCAGTTTTCGATTGCATGAGGCTGCATCTTAAAGTGGGTTAGAGTGAGTGAGTTCTGCAAGACATGGGGCAGGTTATTATTCGTTAATTCTGGTTTGTTTGTTTAGTTGCATTTATAGCTCACCTTTTCCTCCAAAGAAACTCAAGGTGGTATATAGTGGTGCCTTGCAAGACGAAATTAATCCGTTCCGCAAGTCTCTTTGTCTTGCGGTTTTTTCGTCTTGCGAAGCACGGCTATTAGCGGCTTAGCGGCTATTAACGGCTTAGCGGCTTTAAGAAAAAGGAAAAAAACTCGCAAGAACTCGCAAGACGTTTTCGTCTTGCAAAGCAAGCCCATAGGGAAATTCGTCTTGCGAAGCACCTCAAAAAACGAAAAACCCTTTCGTCTAGCGAGTTTTTCGTCTTGCGAGGCATTCGTCTTGCGGGGCACCACTGTACAGGGTTCTCCCCGTCCTCCTTGAATCCTCCCAACAACCCTGCGGGGCAGGCTAGGCCAGGGGTCTGCAACCTTTAAGACAAAAAGAGCCACTTGGACCCGTTTCCGAAGAAAAAAACAACTGGAAGCCGCAAAACCATTGCGACATTTAAAACAAATATATCTCCGGAGCCGCGATCTGACAGCGGGCGGGAAGGCGACGTTGGGACAGTGTGTGACTAACGCACGCACTGCCCCCATGCGACGTCACAGCCAGTACAGCACCCGCCACAGTGGGGAGTGTTGGGGCGCACAATGCGCCTCCTCCCCTCGCTAGTATCCGCCCCGGAGCCACGGCAAAGGTGTAAAAGAGCCACATGCGGCTCCGGAGCCGCGGGTTGCAGACCCCTGGGCTAGGCTGAGAGGCAGTGAGCATCATGGCCAAGCAGGGCTTCAAACCCAGGTCTCATAGGTCCTAGTTTGATGCTCCAACCACTACTCCACACTGTCTCTCTTACTTGCATAGCTTGCCCATATCTGAATGGTCAGGCGTAAATTCAGAAAACGTTACACAAGTGCAAGATTATAATGGAATCATGAAATAAAACCACAAAGCTAACCAGTGATGGGGACATGGGTGGCGCTGTGGGTTAAACCACAGAGCCTTGGGCTTGCCGATCAGAAGGTTGGCAGTTCGAATCCCTGTGATGGGGTGAGCTCCCGTTGCTCGGTCCCTGCTCCTGCCAACCTAGCAGTTCGAAAGCCCGTCAAAGTGCAAGTAGATAAATAGGTACCGCTCCGGCGGGAAGGTAAACGGCGTTTCCGTGCGCTGCTCTGGTTTGCCAGAAGCAGCTCAGTCCTGCTGGCCACATGACCCGGAAGCTGTACGCCAGCTCCCTCGGCCAGTAAAGCGAGATGAGCGCTGCAACCCCAGAGTCGGCCACGACTGGACCTAACAGGTCAGGGGTCCCTTTACCTTTACCTTTTAGGTCTAAACCACAGAGCCTAGGGCTTGCCGATCAGAAGGTTGGCGGTTCGAATCTCCGCAATGACGGGGTGAGCTCCCGTTGCTGGGTTCCTGCTCCTGCCAACCTAGCAGTTCGAAAGCACATCAAAGTGCAAGTAGATAAATAGGTACCGCTCTGGCGGGAAGGTAAACGGCGCTTCTGTGCGCTGCTCTGGTTCGCCAGAAGAGGCTTAGTCATGCTAGCAACATGACCTGGAAGCTGTACGCCGGCTCCCTCGGCCAGTAAAGCGAGATGAGCGCTGCAACCCCAGAGTCGGCCACGACTGGACCTAATAGTCAGGGGTCCCTTTACCTTTTAACCAATGATGAAGTTAGCAGTGTAGCAGGAGGGGAGACGTCCAGTCCACCAATGGAGGGAGATGTTCTTAAAAGTCTTGGCCTGGGTGCCTTCTCCTTATCGATTCTCCTGGCTTGCCTTTTGCTCACCCTGCTTCGTGGGGTTTTCGCAGGGAAAGACATGAAGTTGGTGACTGTCCGCCTCTACGCCTGCCCTGCCCAGGGCGTCTTCAAGACCAGTCGCCTGCACCCCAGCAAGAACAACGTCCGCACGGCTTGGTTCACGGAGAAGCGCTCCCCTGTCGCAGGTATTATTATTATTCTATACTTATTTATACACTGCCTTTTCCCGCTGATGGGGACTCAAGGAGACTTACACTGTGTGTAACGTTTCCGAGCACAATTCAAAGTGTTGGTGCTGGCCTTTAAAGCCCTAAACAGCCTTGGTCCAGAATACCTGAAGGAGCGTCTCCACCCCCATCGTTCAGCCCAGACACTGAGGTCCAGCGCCGAAAACCTTCTGGCAGTTCCCGCATTGCAAGAAGCAAAGCTACAGGGAACCAGGCAGAGGGCCTTCTTGGTGGTGGCACCCACCCTGTGGAACACCCTCCCATCAGATGTCAAAGAGATAAACAACTACCTGACATTTAGAAGACATCTGAAGGCAGCCCTGTTCAGGGCGGTTTTTAATGTGTGAAATTTTAATGTATTTTTCATCTTTGTTGGAAGCCGCCCAGAGTGGCTGGGGAAACCCAGCCTGATGGGTGGGGTAAAAAAATTAAATTATTATTACTGATCTACACACATAAAACAAATTAACGCACAGGAATCTTCCAAAAGCCCATCCCAAGCCCCAAAAGTCCCATGTCGATCGGCAAATGGTCAGGGGGGCAGGATCGTGAAATCTGGAAGCCCCTAGTCATGAACCGGCACATGGGCGGTGGATACAGATTCAGTCGTTCTGACTCAAGGAACGAGGCAGTTGAGCAGCTCAGCAGCTGTATCCATGACTGAGCAGCCCTTTTTAGGATCCACTCTGCTCACCCCGAAAAGGGGGAGGGGCTAGAAAAGGTGCCCTAAATAAAGTCTGCCTCCCTTTTTCCCTGACTGGATTACTGTGCCCAGTGGGGTCACCAATCCGCGGTCAAAAAAGACAATTGAACTTTTTTTCAATCTTACTCAGCTACGAGTAATTGCAAAAGAAGAAGACAAATAAAATAGGAATAGCTAAAAACGTAGGAGAAAAAACAATCACCAAAAACCCCCAATTAAACATCAATAGAATTAATTATGGATAGATAAGATAGATTAAAAACTTGCAGCCCATTGCAACAAAAGTAGCATGGCACCAGCCCCCTCGTTAAAAGGAAATTTTTAAAATGTTTTTCTGGTTATTGCTGTTTTCCTTTTGTTCCCCCTGTGAACGATGCCATGGCCTTTGGCTAGCGCAATAAAGTTTGTGAATGAACATATAAACCTTTGATGAACTTGTGTATTCCTGCCTAATAACCCCCCTTCTAAGCTACACAGAAAGTTAGCCAGAGTGTCTCCATTTTAGACTTGGATGTTGTGTTTCTGTTGTTGGGTTCTGGGTGGTTTTATGCCAGACAAGAAGGTGTCCGCCATATTTGTTCGACATGGACCGGTGGTGATCTCCTGTTCTGCCTTTCCTAGGAGCCTCGGAGCCACCGACGCCACACTACAACAACTCCATTTTGTGGGACCTGGTCCTGGAGTCCAGCCTGCTCTTCCTCTCGGAGGCAGCCCATGACTTCCAAGGCATGCGAGACGGGGTGTCTCTCCTCAAAGTGTGGCTGCGCCAACGTGGGCTTCACCAGGTAACTGGGCCCGGGCACAATGGGGGGAAACCTGGGCCTCCTTGCTTCCTCACCCTTGAGCAGCCTGGCTGTTGTGACAAGACCGCGTTGTCAACTGCCCTGAGATCTACAGGTATAGGGCGGTACACAAATTTAATAAATAAATGTTTGGGGTTGCAATCAAACATTTGAGGTTACAATGGTGGTGCTGTCTAAGGCCTGTGGAAGTTGTAGTTCCAAGAATTCTGGAGGACACCAGGTATGCAAAATCTGCTAAATGTTGTGATCCCTTTGCACTATGCTAAAAATGTCTTGAGCAGCTGCAGGCTACATTCCTAAACAGGACCGTCTTCACCCAGCAGGGTGCAAGGGGTGCGGGGCACCTGGATGCCGAATTCTGGGGGGCGCCTCTCAATCAGTGGTGGTGAAAAGCAATGGAGCAAATGTCCCCACCCCATCCTCGGTTACTCTGTTGCATTACTGCGCCTAAGATTTCAGATTAAAACTGCCACTGCTGGAATGAAAGGAGGACCGTTTTCTGCCTCCCCACTTCCAGCCACGCTCTGAAGACTGGAAAAAAGATCCTCTTAAGAATATTAGGGGGGGGGCAGGGGAAGTATGGCTTTGGTTTTTGCACTCTTCAGGGGAAGGACTAGACCATGTGAAAAATGAACACAATATTTTAGCTGCGGTTCATTCAATTTCAGATTTGTATTCTTGTTGTAAAAAAGCATGCCTAGACATTCTGTTCTTGCACCCATAACCTAGGTTCAGAGTGCCATTTAGCTCCTAGCTTTCTAGCACTGGGTGGCTGGAGGATTTGGGGATCTGCAGCAGAAGAGCACCTTGTGCCAACTTTTGTGTATTGTCCATTTCTTCCCTCCCCCTTCCCTCCCCTCCCCCAGGGCCTTGGGTGCTTCAATGGCTTCATGGCTTCTATGCTGGTGGCGTATCTCTTGGAGAAGCACAAGATCAACAAAGTGATGAGCGGATACCAGGTGTTGAGGAACAGCCTTCAGTTCTTAGGTAAGCCCAGTGCGCTTTGGCTCTGAGGTGGGAGGTGCTTAGATCTGAGCTGGTTTGTGGGGCTCCCTGCCTTTCCGCCCTCGATCACAGACCGAGCCACCCATTTGGCAGAATAATAATACGATAGGAGACGATAGTCTTTATTGTTTCACAATCTCTGAGTAATTGCATGATCTCCCCCCCCCCCACGTGTCTGTCTTCCTTCCAGCTGCCACAGACCTCAGTACATCTGGAATCAGCCTTTCAAAGGATGGAGTTTCCTCACTGGTAATAATAATAATAAATTTTATTTATATCCCGCCCTCCCCAGCCGAAGCCGGGCTCAGGGCGGCTAACAACAATAAAACAGTACAAAAGTACAGCATAAACAGCACTCTAAGATCATTCATTATAAAATTAATTAATTCAAGCCACTGGCAACCATTGCGCCAGAGCTCCGCGAAGATTGCCGAGGGAGGGAGTCAGGCTGTGCCCTGGCCAAAGGCCTGGTGGAACAGCTCTGTCTTGCAGGCCCTACGGAAAGATGTCAAGTCCCGCAGGGCCCTGGTCTCTTGTGGCAGAGTGTTCCACCAGATCGGAGCCACAGCCGAAAAAGCCCTGGCTCTAGAGAGTTGACTCTAGTAAGAGTGTGAGCTTTGGGGTTCTTGGGATTCCTGGTTAGGGCAGAGGCGATGGGGGTTGTTTATTATTACAGCTGTATTCCACCTTCCTTCCAAGGAACTCAAGGTGCCTTGCATGGTTATCCCCTCATCCCTTTGTATCCTCCCAACAACCCTGTGAGGTTGTGCATTCACTTTCCCTGCTAGAAGCTGCTACTCCCACCTGCTTTTCAGCCTGCGACGCCCTTTGAATCTCAATATTTATATTTTATGGAAAGGTTTTCAATGAACAAATAAAAGAAATGGGGGGGGGAGAAACCCAAAACAAAAAGGTGCTTAAAATGAATGCAGCACAATGTATAGATATATAAGGTTATCATCCATTGAGCATACAATTATTAACACGTCACTATAGATTTTATAAATGCACTTGTACTGTCATCATATTAATCCATACACAATCTGTGTCCAAAAGCAGTCTCTTTGTATGTTATAAGAGTTGCCGTATCTTCTATCCATTGATCAAAGGATAGTAGTAGTAGTAGTAATAATAATAATAATAATAGTAATAATTTGTTTATACCCCGCCCATTTGGCTGTGTCTCCCCAGCCACTCTGAGCAGCTCCCAACAGAATATTAAAACATGATAAAACATCAAACATTAAAAACTTCCCTAAACAGGGCTGCCTTCAGATGTCTTCTAAAAGTCAGATAGTTGTTTATTTTATTGACATCTGATGGGAGGGTGTTCCACAGGGCAGGTGCCACCACCGAGAAGGCCCTCTGCCTTCTTCCCTGTAACTTCACTTCTCACAGGGAGGGAACCGCCAGAAGACTCTCGGTGCTGGTGTCAAACCCCGTATCTGAAGAAGTGTGCACGCACACGAAAGCTCATACCAATAACAAACTTAGTTGGTCTCTAAGGTGTTACTGGAAGGAATTTATTTTATTTTGTCCTGTATAATGGGTATGTGACTTAGGATAATATGATCATCTGGCATTTTAAATTGCTCCCCTAAAATTTATTTATACATCTTGATGCTTTTCTCCAGAATTTTGCAACCATCAGCCATTGCATAAGCCTAAGTTTCAAAGGAGCACTTTCCTTGTTCTGCCTTTTGAATCTCAGCTTTGTCCTCTTCCTCTAGCCTACCCTGGCGGACTTCCACGCAGCGTTCCAGGTGGTCTTCGTGGACCCTTCAGGGTTGGTCAACCTGTGCGCAGACATGACGGCCTCCACATATAAGCAGGTAAATGAGGTCGTTGTTTAGCCCAGCTTTCGAATGTGCCGTCCAGATTTTTCCTATCAGCCCCAGCCAGTACAGATTTACTGGAGGAGAGGAGAGGAAGTTTCTCTGTGCAGCCAAAACACGATAAAACATCAGCAGAAGAAATTCATTGGAAAACCTCCCCATGTTTTCATGTCACTTATACCCAGCTCTTCGCCGTTTGCATAATCCTGTAGTGAGAAACAGAATTAAAAATACAACAAAGCAATATTTCACCGAATTGAACACCCTCAAAGGAAGAACAGTTGATAAAAACCTTGGGATATGCAGCGAGGGCAAAACTGATGGCAGTGATAAGAGACGCAAATTTAGAATCCTTTAAAGAAAACTCTGGAAACTCTAATCTGTTTAAAAATTTATTTCCCCTATGCAAAGGCCAAAGCAGGTGTTGAAGTGTAAGAAAATAGCAGGATATATTAAGAAACAGGTTAAAGAAGATGAAATTAGATATGACAGAACCTTAAAAAGCAATTTTATGTAATTTGAGTTAGAAATATTGATGTTGGGTGAGCGCAAGTCACTAGTTTTGTTGAATTGGAATGTAACTGTTGAGTAACAGATTTAACTTTCAATATGGAAAAATAATAAAATATATATAAGAAATTCAACCTAGTGTAAAAACAGACAGCATACCAGTGTTATCATCATTGTTGAAACTGCAGACTTGTTGGGGTAGGCTGAGAACGGGAGAGTGACTTGGGCGAACGGGGAATTCGAACCCGGGTTTCATGTTATTGTCTTCCTGCTTTTCTGCTTTGCTCTTTGCAAATGGACCAGGGAAGCGAACGGGCCAAGAGTGTTTGCACCGGCTGCTTGGGGGTGTGTGGAGTGGTTTTGTAGGGTACCCCCAACCAAGATGAGTTGATGCCTCGAGAGAGAAAAGGAGGCAACTACATTGTGGCCTGGAATTGACACTTGGGGGGTTGGCTTATCTCTCCGCTTGCCTAAATATGTGTGGTTTTGCTCTCCCTTAGATCCAGTTCGAAGCCAAGCACTCCATGGAGATTCTGGAAGACCAAACGATGGATGGCTTCCATTTGCTGCTCATGACCCCCAAGCCTCTGATCCGAGCCTTTGACCACGTGTTCCAGTACGTTCTCTCCACGAGAATATTTTTCTTCTTCTTACGTTTACACACCACTTTTTCTTCGAAGGAGCACAAGGGGACCTGTCCGGTTCTCCTCTTCCTCCTCATTTCCTCCTTACAACAAGCGTGTGAGAGAAGTTGGGCTGAGATACGGAGACTGGCCAAAGGTCACCCAGTGAGTTTTGTGGCCGCATGGGTATTCGAACCCCAAGCCTCCCAGGTCCTAGTCCAACACTCTTTTAAAAAAATGTTTTTTAGTAAAAACCAGAGCACTTTTGGGGGCGATAATTTAGACGGGAAAAGGTCAAAAAAAGGTTATTTATGTATGCCATTACGGCTGCCTATGTTTTGTTAGCACAAAAATGGAAAATGAGCGAGGTTCCAACCAAAGAAGAATGGCAACTTAAACTGATGGAATTTGTGCAGCTTGCGGATCTAACTTACAGAATAAGAGAACAAGAGCAACATTTGTTTAAAGAAGATTGGAAAATGTTTCTTGAATATATGGGGGGAATTGTGTACACTTGAAAACGTCGGCAGCATTAAGATAAATTCAACAGTTTTGATGGAAGTAATAATGGAATACTGAATGGTTTAATTTATATAAAATATGCAGGGGATTTACGCTATGCAAAATGAACCATGGAAAGAGAAGAATGGAAGTCATTGATATTTTAAGGTTGTTTAAATGAATGTTCTAAATTGTAAAACAGAAGATTTAATGAAAATTATATATATAAAAAGAAAATAAGTAATACACAACTAAATAAATAAGAATTAATAATCTGACTTGATGCTATATATAAACATCCAAGGAATGGGTCGACTTGCTCATACTGGGCTGCCGAATCCTGTCTTTCTTGGAGAAGAACTTGAGTTGGTTCAGCACCGAGAATTTATTTCTCCTCCACTGCAGTGTTTGCCCAGCCTGGGCACAGTTGCTTATTTGTGGACCCAGCAGTAACTGCACTTCTCCCTCCCGGCTGCTCTCTCCTCAGCCTTAAGCACGTCTCCAAGCTGCAGGCAGCCTGCAAGAAGATGCAGCTGCTCAACGAGCTGATGGATCGCGGCGGGAATTACGTGGCGGCAACTCTGCCTTTCCTCATCGGCTTGCTGGAACGAGGGCTGTCTCGGAGGATCCTGTTGCTGACGCATGCGCTGCCCCAGACTCAACCAGTAAGTTTTATTTCAGACCATGGTGGTGGTGATGATATTTATATTATATTTACATTCAAAACCTGACAGTACCAAATTATCGAAGGCTTTTCACCAAAGCCAGACTAAATGTCTTTCCTTTTGCAGTGTTGGATGGCAGGTTGAGAGGAGTTCCCTACCAGGACAGACTTTGCTCGTGTCCTCAAGACATCGATTCTATAAAACATATTTTGCTGCACTGTGCAAAATATGAGCAAGTCAGGGCTGACCTGACGTTACCCTTGCTGGTACCTTTCCCGGGAAAATCAGAGGCTCACTATGTCAGGTTCCTATTGGAAGACCGGACAAACGCTAGAACATTAGCAGTGGCAAAGTTTTTATCGGTGGTTGCAAGAACCAATGATCCCTATCTTTAAGTCTGGACAAATTGCTAGTTTAACCTGGAGGTAGGCTGTATGAGTTGGGGATTACTTTGTAACGGTTTGTTGGGTCTCTGGACCGTAATAAAGATTGATTGATTGATATCCATTTATATCCCACCTTTTCCCCTGGGAAGGACTCAAGGCGGCTTACGGATTAAATGAGAACAGCTAAAAACATTTTGCAGTGGGGTGGGGGACAACTGAACATTCAGAAGAATATTAAAAGCATACCAGTGTACTGTTGGCACCTGTCTATCTGGGGAAACATTTATACACACAACAGCCCTGTCAGGTGGGTTAGGCAGAGAAAGAGCAACTAGGTGCCAACTAGGTCACCCAATGAGCTTCATGGCTGAGCAGGGATTTGAACCCAGCTCTCCCAGGCCCTGTGGTTGCCGCGGAGTGCAACCCGAAAATAGTTATCCTGAAGCATATTTATCCCAAGGTATGACTGTATTGTGGGACGCGGGTGGCGCTGTGGGTAAAAGCCTCAGCGCCTAGGGCTTGCCGATCGAAAGGTCGGCGGTTCGAATCCCCGCGGTGGGGTGCGCTCCCGTCGTTCGGTCCCAGCGCCTGCCAACCTAGCAGTTCGAAAGCACCCCCGGGTGCAAGTAGATAAATAGGGACTGCTTACAAGCGGGAAGGTAAACAGCGTTTCCGTGTGCGGCTCTGGCTCGCCAGATGCAGCTTGTCACGCTGGCCACGTGACCCGGAAGTGTCTGCGGACAGCGCTGGCTCCCGGCCTATAGAGTGAGATGAGCGCACAACCCCAGAGTCTGGCAAGACTGGCCCGAACGGGCAGGGGTACCTTTACCTTTACCTTTATGACTGTATTGTGTTTTATGCTTGTTTACTACGGTATGTAAAACTGGTCTGGGACCGTTATAAAATTTATATACAGTAGTACCTCTGGTTGCGAATGGGATCCGTTCCAGAGCCTCAATCGCAACATGAGCAGAATGCAACCCGCGTCTGCGCATGCGCGGGTCGCAATTCACCGTTTCTGCACATGCGCATGATGCCATTTTGAGCATCTGCGCATGCGCGAGCGGCGAAACCCGGATGTAACCCTTTCCGGTACTTCCGGGTCGCCGCGCGACGCAGCCTGAAAAGATTTAACCAGAAGCAAATGTAACAAGAGGTATGACTATATATCTTTCCAGTGTGGCCCATCTAATTTTGTTTCTCTCATCTTTTTCGCCCAGTGGCCAATTGACGCTGATCCCCCCAAACACAAAGACATCGGGTCCCTGTCATTTGGACTTCTGCTGAACCTTGAATTTGCAGGCAGCATCCTTGAGAGGGGACCTGGAGGGGACAGACCAGAGGTGAGACTGGGAGAGTGCTCTGGGCCCCATTATTGGGTGCCTAAGAGATTTTCCGCCTACGCTTTTGCCTTCCATTTGTTCCATCTTGTAGGCACAACCCCTTGGTGGTGAAAGTGCTCACTTTGATTTCAATGGGACTTTTTCAAGGCATGGTTATTCATGAAAGAAACTTCTTTGTCCTGTTTTGCACACCCTTTTTCCTTGCTGAAAAATTGTATTTTGGACCCATGGAACTCTCCGCCACTGGAGATTCATCAGGCACCTTCTGTGCCAAATTTTAGCACCTGCTAAAAGCTTTTATATTCTGCCAGGCCTATGCAGGCGATTAAGAAGACATTCACAGTGGCTAATGGATGCCTGTTTTTAGATTTTTCATGGTTTTATTGTATTCTTTTATGTTTTTATTGCTGTAAACCACTTTTAAGTATTTTTTATGACATAGTGGTATACAATTTTTTAAATAAATGAATTAAATAAACCTATTTAGTGACGCTCTTGCTTTCTTGCTAATTTCTGAAAAGTTAAAACTCTTTTTAATGCAATTTATTTTTAAAGAATGAAGGTCAGAATCACTTCCTTTTTTCTGCATCCTTTGCATACAGGATTAGAGTTACCTGTGAAGACAAATTGGCACCTAATGCCCCATTTATATTTGTTTTGTTTCTGCTTTAATTGTTTGGCAGTGGTTGAAAAACACAAACCAAACTCACAAAAGTTAACTTGTACTTGTATCTGTGCACACCCAGGAATTGTGGGCCTGGCCTGCAGAACGTTCCTCTATTTTGTTTTTTAAAATGACTTTTATGAGTATATAAAAATGAATTATGTTCATTTTACTATAAACAAAGAAAGCCGGTGAGAAAGCGAGAGAAATGCCTTTCATTTCCCCTCTCTCGGGGTTTGAACCTGCAGGCGCTGGAGTTTCGGCAGTTTTGGGGGAAGCGATCGGAGCTGAGGCGTTTCCAAGATGGCGCCATCTGCGAGGCCGTTGTGTGGGATGCGCCAAACATGAGCCAGAAGCGGCTTATTTCTGAGCAGATCATTCGCCACCTCTTGCAGTTGTGAGTAGCATGCGGGGACTCGGTTTTGGGGGACCCAGAGAAGGCAAAAATGGGAGTTTGTGTAAGACCATTGGTCACTGAAACACAACCAGATTGTTGCAGTAGGAGCGCCTCTTCTGTCTCCTGGCAGATCAAGAGGAGAAGATGACTGCAAAGGTTGCAAGGTTTCTAGCTGGGGCAATCAGAATAGGGTCCACTATTTGACTGCTGATTCAGGACCCTAAACTGTGTTTTACATAATCGACTTTTTATTTTGTTCTGTGTACAGTGGTACCTCGGGTTACATATGCTTCAGGTTACAGACACTTCAGGTTACAGACTCCGCTAACCCAGAAATAGTACCTCGGGTTAAGAACTTTGCTTCAGGATGAGAACAGAAATTATGCTCCGGCGGCAGCGGGAGGCCCCATTAGCTAAAGTGGTGCTTCAGGTTAAGAACAGTTTCAGGTTAAGAACGGACCTCCGGAACGAATTAAATACTTAACCCGAGGTACCACTGTATACTGCAGTGTTTTTTTGTTGCTATGGCCGACGGCTGAACCAAATAAAGTTTTGTTCATACATTCTTTGGGGAGAAGCTAAAACGTTTGGAGATCTTTAACTTCGAATAAAGACAGGTGGGCAGTGGACCTCTAAAATTATGGACAGCATGGAGAGAGGAGATAGAGGAAAACATTTTGCGTCTGTCACACTTGGTAAGAACATAAGAAGATACTGCTGGTTAGGGTGAAGGGTGGGTTAATAATGATTAATGATGGAGGCAGCCTCCGCGGTCAGAAGCAAAATGCTTCTGAATACCCGTTGCTGTAAAATGGAGGGAAGGGTGGTCTTGGGTTCAAGTTCTGCTTACAGGTTCCCACAGGAGGGAACAGGATGCTGAACTAGAGAGGCCATTGGCCTGTTCCAGCAGGCTCTACTTACTTTCTTACCATGTTCTCGTGTTACGAATGCAAAATATATTTCCTCTGTCTCCTCTCTTCATACTATTCATAAAACATAAAAGCGGGTGGCGCTGTGGTCTAAACCACTGAGCCTTTTGGGCTTGCCGATCAGAAGGTCAGCGGTTTGAATCCCTGTAATGGAGTGAGCTCCCATTGCTCCATCCCAGCTCCTGCCAACCTAGCAGTTCAAAAGCATACCAGTGTGAGTAGATAAATCGGTACCACTGCGGCGGGAAGGTAAACTGTGTTTCCGTGCGCTCTGGTTTCCGTCACGGTGTCCTGTTGCTCCAGAAGTGGTTGAGTTCTGCTGGCCACATGACCCAGAAAGCTACTTGTGGACAAATGCCGGCTCCCTTGGCCTGAAAGCGAGATGAGTGCCGCAATCTCATAGTCGCCTTTGACTGGACTTAACTGTCCAGGGGTCTCTTGCCTTTACCTTTATCTTATACTACAGTCATACCTTGGGTTACAGACGCTTTGGGTTGTGCATTTTTGGATTGCGCAACGCGCTGAACCCAAAAGTACCAAAACAGGTTACTTCCGGGTTTCAGCGCTCGTGCATGTGCAGAAGCGCTAAATCTCACTTTGCACATGCGCAGAAGCGCTGAATCGCAACCCGTGTGTGTGCAGACGCGGTGCTGTGGGTTGCGAACGTGCCTCCTGCATGGATCACGTTCACAACCCAAGCGTCCACTGTATTCATAATTTCATAGATCCACTAACTTCCCCCAAACTAGCTGTGGCAATAGAACAAAAGTTTTTTCTGAAGCAGTGTACCATTAGTATTGGACAAACCACAGGGTGGGCCTGTTCCTGTCAGCGGATGTACTCAGGGCTATTCTTCTAGAAAAGGAGGTGCCAGAACTCGCCGTGAATGCCTCTTTTGTTTTATTATAATGGCGCCCACCTGAAAGGTGCTGGAACTGAGCTCCTGCGAGTTCTGGCTGAAAAAACGCCCTAGCTGTACTCATGGGCTGTCCACTGTTGGCAACAGGATACTGGGCCAAACGGTCTGAGCCCACCAAAGCAATTCAGGCAGCAGCTTTGGCTGGTCCCAGAGGAAGCTGGTGTTCTTTTGCCTGTGCCACCGCAACAGTTGCTGATGCCACCATCATCCTGTGAAGGCTGGAGAATTATCTGTCCTAACAGAACGTTGCGTAAAGAAGCCCCCATGTTCTTCAGGCTCTCCTCACTGGGTGCATTTGTGACTTTTGTGGTTTCACCAGGCATTGAGCTCACATAGGCTCTCCCAAGCTTTTATCGACGTCTTTGAAAAAACATGAGAAACTTCGTTTAAAAAAAGAAAAGAGTGTCGATTAGAAGAAAGGAGCGCGTTCCCTGTTTAAAAGCCTTTCATGGTTTGGCTCTCTCTTATCTCTCTGCAGACACATGGACATTCCGGAAACTTCCATCTGCTACACAGGTGCCCTGCTGGAGCCTGTGATCAAGATGGGGCGTGAAGTAAGCAGCCTCTTTCTCCTCTGTGAATTCATGTCCTTTGAAATGCGGTGGAACTTCCCTTTCCTCTCCTCTCCCCTTGTCCCCAACCCCAGGAAATCTGTTCCATAGGGCACAGGGAAAGCTGAGAAAGTCTGTTTTGGAAGCACAATGGCAAAGTATGTATTCATGTATGTATGTACAGTCATACCTTGGGTTCCAGACGCTTCAGGTTGCGTTTTTTGGGTTACGGACCGCCGGAACCCGGAAGTACCGGGACGGGTTACTTCCGGGTTTCGGCGGTCGTGCATGCGCAGAAGCGCTAAATCGCACTTTGCGCATGTGCAGAAGTGCTGAATCGCAACCCATGTGTGCGCTGCTGCAGGTTGCAAACGCTGTGGGTTGCAAACGTGCATCCCGCATGGATCACGTTCGCAACCCGAGTGTCCACTGTATGTATGGATGTATTAAATGTGCATACCGACTTTTATCTGAAGATCACAGAGGGGTTTACAACACAAAAATGCAACATGAAAAGACAAAATACGTGATGAAACAAAAGCAAACCAATTCCCCCCCCCCAACACTTTTAAAAAGCCATAGATTGTTGTGCCCTTCAAAAAATGGGAATTCAGGCTCCGCTGATCACCGCCTCCTCTGCCCTCTTAAGTCACATCCGCACCGTATGTTTAAGGTGCATTGATACCGCTTGTGCCTTCCCCCAAAGTATTCTGGGAGCTGTAGTTTGTTAAGGGCGTTGAGAGATGTTTAGCAGATTCCACAGAACTACAATTCCCAGAGTTCCCTGTGAAGCGAGACTGACTGTTGCAGCACTATTGAGAATGGCAACTCTCAATTCTGTGTTGTTGTTTTCCTGGTGTCTTTTTTTTTGTTAAGGGCAGTTATGAGAGCAACTTCCCGGAGTCACTAATTGCAGGTTTTGGATGAGAGTTTCTGGGGTATCAGTGTGGTGATGGGGAATGGTTACCTCAGTTCCCCTCATTCCATGGTCCTCCTCCTGATCAGAGAGACACATGCAGCTGCTGTTTCAGGAAAACTCAGAAACCAGACTTGTTAAATGCATTCACAGATTGAACAAACAGTCGTACCTCTACTTTCGTATCCCTCTGGATACAGAATCTTTGGGTTACTGCCATGGCAGACCTGGAGATGTATACTTCCGGGTTTCGCCATGCGTGCATGCGCAGAAGCGCTCAATCGCGGCGTGCGCAGAAGTGCGCCTCTATTTACGTAGTTTTCGGGGTGCAAACGGACCCCTGGAACGAATCAAGTTCTTGTCCGGAGAGTCCACTGTATTCTCTAGTTGGGTAGTAATCCTCCCGTAAAGGGCAGTTTCTATTGTGCCAAAATAAAAAGGTCAGGTGGTTATGTCACATGGCTGTGTCCAGGCTGGTCTGCAGGTGGCACCCTTCAGCTGTGATATTTCGGACGGGAGTGTGTTGCAATCTGCCTTAGATCTGCTTTCATTAAGGGAGCGTCAAACCGACCGCCAAAATCCAGTTTCTCCTAAGAAACCGGTGGTCTCACACTGCAAGCACGCATGGGAGACAGTCTCTTTCCACATGTGTTGTGCTTGGCCTCCCCACACGTCTGGGCCCTCCCTGTGGCACTGGCAGACTTTTCCAGATTTCCCCCCCCCCCCAAAAAAAAGTGGAAGGTTGAGGTTTCGGACTGTCCATTTGGCTAACTTAGACAAAAAGCGCCTCTCATATTCCAGCTGATTCACACTTCTCCAGATTTTCCCCAGCCAAGAAATGCAGGTTTCGTATGCCATGTTTTATATATTCATGTTCTCCCAACTAGGCCCTTTTGAAAGATATCCTGCTGCAGATTGAGAGGCACAGACAAGATGGATCTTTTGCTATGAGCTGGATGAATATAACCAGTCTTAAATGTTTTGGGCTACAGCTCCTGCCTCGCCACCCTCAGCCAGCTATCTCTATTTAATTTAGTAGCATGTAAGGGTCAGTAGGGGACGTGCGTGATGCTTTTTATTGGGTGGATTTCCCCCCTAAATTGATTTCTGAATTCTGAATTTATGGTTATTCACATTTTATACTGTCTTTTATGCTGGTTTTTTGTTGCATCAATTAAGTGTTTTGAATTTGTTGTTAGCCACCCTGAGCCCGGTTTTCTGAACCAGGAAGGGTGGGGTATAAATAAAAAAAAATTATTATTATCTTGAACAGCCGGCAGGTACTGGCGAGGAGGCCATGTTGAGCGTTGTCCGCTCGTACGACGACCTGAGCCGCAAGCTGTGGAAACTGGAGGGGCTGCCGCTGACGGTGACGTCCGTGCAGGGAGCTCACCCTTCCCTCCGATACACCGATGTGAGTTTGAGCCAAGAAAGGGGGGCTGTCGGAGGACACGCTCGGTCTGTTTAGACGGGTCTCCTGCGCCGTAATGCGCGCTTCTGTGGCAACGGTTTTCGTGGCAGGGCAAATTGCGAGGGAGGCAGGTGCATGGGGAAGATTGTGCATTAGGATTTGGCCACCCCGTGGGGGGGGGATCTGTTGGGATACTGTCAGGGAGACGGGGGCTTCCCCCCAGCTGGCTCCGGACGATCACCGGTCTCCCATGGAACAGCATCAGTCAATCAGTGACAGGAGACTCAGAGACGTTCCAAGACCCATGCACACCCTACCAGCAGAGAGTTTAATCATCCACAACGGAAGATGCAGACAGAGAGAGCATATTAATAGCTTTATTCAGCGTATTCAGGAACAAAGGAAAAACATGACTGCATCCCTTCGTCTCCAGCGAAAACAGCAAAGCAAAAGCAATATTTAAAAGCAATGTTAACTTTTTTGATGGAGGTTGCCATTTTAAAGTTATGTTTTATTATCACATAACTTATCACATAACTAGGGTGGCGCTGTGGGTTAAACCACAGAGCCTAGGACTTGCCGATCAGAAGGTCGGCGGCTCGAATCCCCTCAACGGGGTGAGCTCCCGTTGCTCGGTCCCTGCTCCTGCCCACCTAGCAGTTCGAAAGCATGCCAGTGCAAGTAGATAAATAGGTACCGCTCCGGCATAATCTGTGTGTGTGTATGTTTGTGTGTGTATAAAATTTATTATTTATTATTATCATCAGCCCCCAGTGAATTCTGCCTTTTAAATGTCGTAACAAAGGTGTCCCAGAGAGCCATTGGCCACCCAGCATCCTTGCAGCCCTTTGCAATTGGAAACGGGGCATTTTCTGCCAGGGGTGTGTACCCAGAGGATGTGCTGCTACCTTGAGATCTTGTGTGGATTCCCCCTTTTCTTGCTCCTCTTAACGTGCCTTCCTGGTTCTTTCTCAGGTCTTCCCTCCGGTGCCCGTGAAACCAGATTACGCCTACCACGCCAGGATCGAGGGCCGGGAGTCTCTTCTGCCCTTGGCGGAGAAGCCGTGCCCGGTGTATTTAGCACCAATGAAAGGCAAGGATGGGTAATGTGGGTGAGACTGTCTCAAAGTGGGCAAGGGGCATTGTGAGTCCCCCCCCCCCTGCTGCTACTTCATTTTGTAGTAACCAAACAAACCCCTGTGCTGCAAAGAGAACTTTATAGAATTTCTTCAAACCATAACGAGTCCAAAATGAAATCTTTAGTCTCAAAGTCTCTGGAAATCTTTAAAAGAAGCAAGGTACCAGACTTGGTGTGACGCGGGGGGTGCTGTGAGTTAAACCACAGAGCCTAGGACATGCCGATGAAAAGGTTGGCGGTTTGAATCCCCGCGATGGGGTGAGCTCCCGTTGTTCGGTCCCTGCTCCTGCCCACTTATCAGTTTGAAAGCACGTCAAAGTGCAAGTAGATAAATAGGTACCGCTCCGGCGGGAAGGTAAACGGCGTTTCCGTGCGCTGCTCTGGTTCACCAGAAGCGGATTATTCATGCTGGCCACATAACCCGGAAGCTGTACGCCAGCTCCCTCGGCCAATAAAGCGAGATGAGCGCCGCAACCCCAGAGTCGGTCACGACTGGACCTAATGGTCAGGGGTCCCTTTACTTTTACCAGACTTCGTACGATGAAAGACAAGCTGTGAAGCTTTGTGTATTCAGCCAATATGATGTCCAACACTGAACAGTTATTCCGGATATTGACAACTGTTTAGAATTATTCGTCAGCGTGGTGGGAGGATATAAAATTGCTTCATAAACCCATCTTATTTCGAATGAATGTATGTAAATGAAAATATCAAATGCTGTGGAACAGTTCTCATGTAATAATGGCACTGTTCCACAGCATTTGATATTTTCATTTACATTGGTACATCTGGTTGCCAACGGGATCCATTCTGGAGCCCTAGTCGCAACCTGAAAGGAATGCAACCCGCGTCTGCGCACATGCGGGTCGCGATTCGCCGCTTCTGTGCATGCGTGTTACGTCATTTTGCACGTCTGCGAGTGCGAGAGGCGAAACCCGGAAGTAACCCTTTCCGGTACTTCTGGGTCGCCGCGGGATGCAACCTGAAAAGACGTAACCCGCAGCGTTCGCAACCCGAGGTATGACTGAACATACATGCATTCAAAGTAAGATGGGTTTATGAAGCAATTCTATATCCTCCCAATTAAAATCGTTAGTAGGATTGGAATATCACTTGTAGTCTAATGGTGAGTTTTGGACACAATGGAGAGGTAAAAGATTTGGATTATTATAAAAGATGCAGGAGGAAATGATTATAATAATAATTTATTATCTATACCCCGCCCATCTGGCAGGGTTTCCCCAGCCACTCTGGGCGGCTTCCAACAAAATATTAAAATACAATAGTCCACCAAACATTAAAAGCGTTCCTAAACGCTTCAGATGTTTTCTAAAAGTCTGGTAGTTCTTCTTTTTGACATCTGGTGGGAGGGCGTTCCACAGGGCGGGTGCCACCACCGAGAAGGCCCTCTGCCTGGTGCCCTGTAATTTGCTTCTCGCAGTGAGGGAACTGATTCACAATCGGACCCACAAAGGGGAGGAGGGGGAAGTCCAGGAGATTCCTTGGAATCTCGTTGGATAATGTGAATGGAAAGTTTCAATTTCAAGAACCAAAAAAATGAATTGAGAAAAAGAGAAGGAGTTAGGTTATCCCTGTCCAGACTGGGGTGCAGCTGGGCCACCAGACAAAGCTGACGGAAGTCACCCCACGCTTCCAAGGCCACCTGGGCTTCGGGCAACAGCAAGGGGTCCAGGAGTAGCCACAAGCTACGTACCCGGCTCCTTCAGAGGAAGTGTAACCCCATCAACCTCCCGGCCATCTGCTCTAGGGAGCACTGCTTCAGTCTTATCTGGATGGAGCCTTATCAGGATCTTCGCCTGCCCTTCTCCTGCTTCTATGCTGATCCTTGCGCCTTCCGTTAACTCTTTTGCCTCCTCCTTCCCTCTCGCACCAGTGATCTGCCACATGGAGGGCAGCGGCCAGTGGCCTCAGAGCAAGGAAGCCATCCGGCGGGTCAAGGCCGCCTTCCAGCTGCGGCTGGCAGAACTTCTCCACCAGCAGCACCATCTGCTCTGCAGGGCTTCGCCCGCCTACACGGACGTGTATAAGGTAATCGTGCCGGAGGGTGGGTGTGTTCGTGCACATTTGGCCCTGCAGATTCGCAGGAAGGTGGAAGCCGTTGCCTTGCGAAATATGACCAAGGGGTCTGCTATCTTGAGAGAGAGAGGGGGGGGGAAGCAGGACTCACTCCCATCAGTTCCACTGTGACAGGCCAGTTCCATCAAGTCTCCTCTCCTGTCACCTGGGGGCGGCCTTGCTGGGAGAGATGGAAAGCAGAAGGCTCAGTCGGTCAGCTTTGCCGAAAACCCGGCTCCACCAGGCTCCTCCTACACCTGAACTATGCAAGCTGGACATTATAAGAACAAACGTTTATATATTCGTGCTTGAGTTTTATTTCTTCCTCTGCCCTCCTCGCACCTTTTCCCTTGTGTGTCGTGTTTCTTTAGAGCATAAGCCTGTGGGCATGGGCTAATAATAATAATAATAATAATAATAATAATAATATATTATTTATACTCTGCCCATCTGGCTGGGTTTCCCCAGCCACTCTGGGCGGCTTCCAACAGAATACAGTCATACCTCAGGTTACAGAGCCTTCAGGTTGCGTTTTTTGGGGGGTTATGGACCACCGAAACCCGGAAGTACCGGAATGGGTTACGTCTGGGTTTTGGCAGTCGCACATGCACAGAAGCGGTAAAACGCGCTTTGCACATGTGCAGAAGACCAAATTGCAACCTGTGCGTGCGCAGATGTGCCGCTGCAGGTTGCGAACGTGCAGCCCACACGGATCATGTTCGCAACCCTAGAGTCCACTGTATTAAAGACACAATAAAACATCAAACATTAAAAACTTCCCTAAAAAGGGCTGCCTTCAGATGTCTTCTAAAATTCAGATAGTAGTTTATTTCCTGGACATCTAGTGGGAGGGCGTTCCACAGGGCGGGCGCCACTACCGAGAAGGCCCTCTGCCTCGTTTCCTGTAAGCTCACTTCTCGCAGGGAGGCAACCACCAGAAGGCCCTCGGAGCTGGACCTCAGCGTCCAGGCAGAATGATGGGGGTGGAGACGCTCCTTCAGGTATACTGGGCTGAGGCCGTTTAGGGCTTTAAAGGTCAGCTGTATTGTTTTAACATCATTTTGGGAGCAGGGCTGAAGAGCAATAAAAAGTTGCTCTCAATACATAATTGTAACAATTTCAGACGCAGACTCCTCCCGATAAATCTGAAGCAAATTCAGAGTATTGCCCCTAGCTTTGGGTGGTTATTCCACCCTGTTCTCCTCAGCAGCGCCCAGCACCACACGTTCCATAATCTTGAAGGGATTTTGGCTCTCTGGGACCCTTTTCCTGCCACAAACTTCGCTTGGCTTTGTGGTTGGTGGACTCATTTTTGAGCCTTTCGCACGGAGAGGATGACTCTCTAAGAGCTGAGATTCAGGACTTCTGGCTTTCTGGTGTGCATCTTGCACCACCCTTGGGTAAAGTTCGCCATCAGGTCCAGAAAAGCCACCTTACCCTGACTTTTTGGTGCAAATTGGTCTCTTGACTCCTGCCTTTGCGCCCTAATTGTATTTATTTATTAAATTTGTATACCCATAGGTCTCAGGGCAGTTCACAACATATAATTACAATATAAAAAACACAGAATGCATAATAAGAGACCTACATTGGCCCCCAGTATGTTTCTGAGCACAATTCAAAGTGTTGGTGTTGACCTTTAAAGCCCTAAACGGCCTCGGTCCTGTATACCTGAAGGAGCGTCTCCACCCCCACCGTTCAGCCTGGATGCTGAGGTCCAGCTCTGAGGGCCTTCTGGCGTTTCCCTCATTGCAAGAAGCCAAGTTACAGGGAACCAGGCAGAGGGCCTTCTTGGTAGTGGCACCCGCCCAGTGGAACGCCCTCCCACCAGATGTCAAAGAGATAAACAACTACCTGACATTTAGAAGACATCTGAAGGCAGCCCAGTTCAGTGAAGATTTTAATGTGTGACATTTTAATGTATTTTTAATCTTTGTTGGAAGCCGCCCAGAGTGGCTGGGGAAACCCACCAGATGGGCGGGGTATAAATAACAAATTATTACTATTATTATTTATTATTATTAAAACACAGAACATAAAAACAAAAAGCAAAGACAACTCAATGATCTTTCCTTCCACAACACATTCAAAAGGGCACCAGATGTCCATAAGCCGAAGGCCTGGTTGAAGGGTAATGTTTTCGCCTTGAACGTCTGCTTTTCCTGTGATTTTCTTTACTTTTGTGCTTTTAGTTTAACATTCAGAGCACATAGCTCTGAATTGTGATATTTTATGGAACTCGCCCTGGGGTCATTAGGTGAAGAGCAGGCTGGACCTAAGACGGTGGGCTGAAGTTGAATGTTGGAAGATTCAGGACTGCGGAACTCCCTCCCACAGGAGAAAGTGATGATCACAAACTTAGATTAGGGAAATGTATGGAGGAGAAGGCTAGGAATGGCTGCTAGCCGTGATGGCTGTGCTCTGCCCTCCACGGTCAGAGGCATCAATGCTTCAGAATCCTGGTTGTTGGAAACAGCAGGATGGGAAGGGAGCTCCTGTGTTCGAATCCTGCTCACTAGTTTCCCCCAGGCATCAGCTTTGCCCCTGTGAGACCAGGATGCTGGGCTAATGAGCCATTGGCCTGTTCCAGCAGGCTCTTAAGCAGCAAATAATTTCCCCTCCTGTTCCTCCTCTTTCTCAGGACGGCTATGTCTTCCGCCTCCAAGTAGCCTATCACCGAGAGCCCCAAATCCTGAAGGAAGTGGTAACCCCCACAGGCATGCTGAAGCACGAGGTGACGGAAGAATCCGTGCAGCTGGAAGTGGAAACCTTGCACCTACCATTCTTGACCAGCTCACTTCACGGGTAAGCAGAGAGAGGTCTCCCCTTCTGAGAATGATGCCTGCGAGACACAACGGCCGTGGTGTTCCCCTGAATCCCAATTGATGGGAATCACAAGGGCAGAGAGCATTGCTTGTGCACTGCGGTCCTTCTCGCGGGCTTACAACAACAACAACAATAAATAATAATAATAATAATATAATGCCACCCATTTATCTTGGGAGAGAATGGAGGAATGTGCCTTTGGGGGTGAAGTCAAACTATTAGGAGGTTGCAGAGCCTGCTGTGGCTGTAGAGACCGATGTGGGAGAGACATGTTTTGTCGCAGCTGGGGAAGATGAAGGCATCCAGCTGTCCATGGCATTTCTTCTCTGCGCTCCTCCCAGCAGTCATCCCTCCTCTGGTCAATGCTATTAATTATTATTAGTATTAATTACTTTTACCCTGCCCATCTGACCAGGTCTCTGTGCTGCCAAATACAGCAGTTCTTTCCAAGGATATCAGGACAAAAGGAAAGAGGAGGTGGAAGGGGAACCAAAACAGTTTTATAAACAAATAAACAGCAGACATGCAAAGCATAGCATAAAACATACCCGACAGGGGCTACCCAATCTCCCCTTCAGCTGCCCAGAGCCCCAGGTAGAGCAGCAGGAGAAAGACCCCGACCGTCAGTCTCCCAGCATCAGGTCCTTTGATCTGGGCAGAAGCTCTCCCACCTATGACTTTTATAGCCCGCCTTGATGTAATCAAGTGCACCTGGCATTACTCATGATTAATACAGAGCGGCTGAGAGTCTCCCACTACCTGCAGCCGGCATCCAGACAGCACTTGCAACACAGAAGAACCCAAGAAACTCCCGACAGGTGTGTGAAACACAAGAATCAAACTGGGAATGTTAAAGGGAAAGGGACATGCCACCTAACTCCTCGAAATACAATTGTCTTCCGCATTTCCACTACAGCCTCCCCAGCCATTCTAGGCGGCTCCCAAAAGAATACTAAAAACACAAAAAAATGCAAACATTAAAAACTTCCCTAAACAGGGCTGCTTTCAGATGTCTTCCTAAAGTCAGGTAGTTGTTTATTTCCTTGACATCTGCTGGGAGGGCGTTCCACAGGGCGGGTGCCACTACCGAGAAGGCCCTCTGCTATGGATGCACGACTTAACTTTCTGTCTCCACTGCGGTCGTCTGCGAGGGATTCTCACCCAGCAGAGTTGATGTCACCAGTCATCATAATAATAGCTTTCTGTTGCCTTCAGATTACGGTGACGTTGCCGGCAGATTTGGCAACGGGTCTCAAATTGTTTGCTTCCTCCCTACAGCCTCCAGCAGCAACATTCTGCTTTCAGCAGCTGCTGCCGTCTTGCCAAGCGCTGGATCAGTGCTCAACTGCTGAGCGACAGCGTCTTGGAGGAATGCGTGGACTTACTGGTGGCCTCCCTCTTCCTGTCCCCAGCACCCTTCACTGTGCCCAGGTAAGGGCCCAGCCAGCGTGACATCTGCTTCACAACCTCCTGAGTCTGTTACGCTCCTTTTTTAATTGCTCCTTGGCCAGGATTCTACGTCCCTTCCATGAATAGGAGCAGTCTACCTGCGAGTGCTGGTAGTGTTCCCAAAATACGAACCTACCCTGAACGTGCTCCTTGCTGGATCAGACCCCACAGCACCGTTTATCCTGAAAGGCAAGGGGTTCGACGGGATGACCATTTGGTCATGTGGCTTAGGGCCCTCGTATTTACGGGCCGCCTCTCCTGGTCTGCCCCGCAGAGGACCTTAAAGTCCATGAATAACCATAGTTTAGAGGTCCCGGGCCCTAAGGAAGTCAGACTATCCTCCACCAGGGCCAGGGCCTTTTCATTGATGGCTCCGACCTGGTGGAATGCTCTGTCCCATGAGACTAGGGCCCTTCAGGGTTTAACCTCCTGAAGGGAAGGAAACTGCTGAAAAAGTTTGCTGACCCCTGGTCTAAACCACGGAGCCTCTTGATCAGGAGGTCGGTGGTTCGAATCCCCGCAACAGGGTGAGCTCCCATTGCTCTGTCCCAGCTCCTGCCAACCTAGCAGTTCGAAAGCACACCAGTGCAAGTAGATAAATAGGTACTGCTGCAATGGGAAGGTAAACAGCATTTCCATGCGCTCTGGTTTCCGTCACTGTGTCCCGTTGCGCCAGAAGCAGTTTAGTCCTGCTAGCCACATGACTCGAAAAGCTGTCTGTGGACAAACGCCGGCTCCCTCAGCCTGAAAGCAAGATGAGCTCCGCAACCCCAGAGTTGCCATTGACTGGACTTAACCGTCCAGGGGTCCTTTACCTTTTTAAAAAAACCTTTTAAAACTTTTTTAAAAAACCTTTTAAGTTTTGTTTCAACAAACTTTCCCAGTTAGGTGAACAGACCTCCTCTGCCTGGACTGTTCGTTTCGTGATCTTTTTAAACATCTGCTGTTGGAGTGCTTTTAAAATCATTCTCTCTCTTTATAAAAATACAGTCATACCTCATGTTACAGACGCTTCAGGTTACGTCTTTTCAGGTTGTGTCCTGCAGCAACCCGGAAGTACTGAAAAGGGTTATTCTGGGTTTCGCCGCTCACGCATGTGCAGAAGCGCTAAATTGCACCGCGCACCTGAGCAGATACGGTGCTTCAGGTTGTGCTCTTTTCGGGTCGCAAATGGGCCTCCGGAACAGATCCCGTTTGCAACCAGAGGTACCACTGTATGTCTTACAGCTGGCTTGAGACATGTATATGAAATGAATATAATACACAGTAAAGGTAAAGGGACCCCTGACCATTAGGTCCAGTCATGGCCGACTCTGGGGTTTCGGCACTCATCTCGCTTTATTGGCTGGGGGAGGCGGTGTACAGCTTCTGGGTCATGTGGCCAGCAGGACTAAGCCGCTTCTGGCGAACCAGAGCAGCGCACAGAAACGCCGTTTACCTTCCCGCTGGAGCGGTACCTATTTATCTACTTGCACTGGTGTGCTTTCGAACTGCTAGGTTGGCAGGAGCAGGGACTGAGCAATGGGAGCTCACCCCGTCGTGGGGATTCGAACCGCCAACCTTCTGATCGGCAAGTCCTAGGCTCTGTGGTTTAACCCACAGCGCCACCCGCGTCCCTATAATACACAATACAGCTAGAATAATGCTGCCTTTCGTGACTCTTCTCTCCCTGCAGCTCCCCGCAAGTGGGATTCCTTCGGTTCCTTTTGCTGCTCACCACTTTTGACTGGAAGAACAGCCCCCTCATCGTCAACCTGAATGCTGAGCTGAACGGTGAGAGAGGTGGAGGGAGGGACAGTAGAAACAGAGAGAGCTTGCAGGATCAGGCCCGTGGTCCCTCTTTCCAGCACCCTGTTCTCACAGTGGCTGATGAGATGCCGGTGGGAAACCTGCAACAGGATCTGAGCACAAGAGACAAAACTCTCTCCTTCAGTGGTTTCTAGCACCTGGGATTAATAGAATCAGAGAATTGTAATAATAAATAATAATAATATTTTTTTATTTACACCCCGCCATTTCCGGTTCAAAAACCGGGCTCAGGGCGGCTAACAACAAATTTAAAACACTTAATTATAAAAACAGCATAAAATACAGTCTAAAAACATGAATGACAATAAAATTCAAAAATCAATTAGATAATCCCCAGGGCTAGCTGGCTGAATTGGTCCTACTTGGGCCAGCGAGGAGGCCAGGGGAGAATTAGCTGTGGGGTCTCAGAGCAGGTGATCTTCATAAAAGGGGAGGGGGAGGGAAGAGAAGGGAAATAAAAGATCAGGCTGAGTTCAAATTAAAGGCCAGGCAGAATAGCTCTGTCTTACAGGCCCGACGGAAGGAGGTTAAATCCTGCAGGGCCCCTGGTCTCATGGGACAGAGCATTCCACCAGGTCGGAGCCATCCCTGAGAAGGCCCTGGCCCTGGTGGAGGATAATCTGAGTTCCTTAGGGCCTGGGACATCTAAACTATGGTTATTCATGGACCTTAAGGTCCTCTGCGGGGCAGACCAGGAGAGGCAGTCTTGTAAATACAAGGGTCCCGTAGATACTTGTAGAGTTGGAAGGGACTGTGTGTGTGTGTGTGTGTGTGTGTGTGTGTGTGTGTGTGTAATCTAGTCCAAACCCCTGCAATGCAGGAATATTTTTGCCCAGTGTGAACGCACAACTCTGAGATTAAGAGTCTCATGCTCTACCGACTGAGCTGCTCCATCATATTTTGAAATTAACAGGATGAACAACTACTGTATTTTTTGCTCTATAGGATGCACTTTTTCCCCTCCAAAAATGAAGGGGAAATGTGTGTGCGTCCTATGGAGTGAATGTAGGCTCCTTGGCTCCGCAGCGACGCGCCTGACCTGGAAGCCGGAGGCCTCCAGCTTTGCTAAAGGGGCGCTGCGCCTTCTCCCTCTCTGCGCAGCACCTCTCATGTGAAGGAGAGAGAAGGCGCAGCACCCCTTGAGCGACGCGCCTGTCCAGCGAAGCCGGAGGAGGAACAGAAGAGAGAGAGAAGGCGCAGCACCCCTTGAGCGATGCGCCTGTCCTGGCTTCTGCTTTAGCCCTGCGCAGCCTCTGAAGAGGCTTGGCGCGGTTAATCCAGAAGCCAATCCAGAATCCTTCTTGCTCTTCTGGCTTCTGGGGTTCAGAATAATTTTTTTCTTGTTTTCTGCCTCCCAAAACCTGGTGCGCCCTATGGTCCGGTGTGCCATATGGTGCAAAAAATACGGTAATACATAGCCTGGTCACATAGAATCATAGTTGGAAGGGACCCTGAGGCTCATCTAGTTCAGGAGCATCTTTTCCTCTGACTGTGGAGGCAGAACTGAGGAGCCACTGATAGCCTCTCTTCCTCCATGAATTTGTCTAACTGTCCTTTCAAGCCGTCCAAGTTGGTGGCCTCCTGTGGAAGTGAGTTCCCTAGTTTAGGTGGTGCGTACTTCCTTTTATCTGTCCGGAATCTCCCAACTTCCAGCTTCCCCGAGTCTTCCTTTCCTTAGGGAAGCCTCTTCCATGCTGAGCAGTCTCTGAGGTTTTCTTGCCATAGGGCTCGTCTTGGAAGAATTAAGAGGCCAAACCTTCCTTGTTAGGATTAGTACGATGATTTCCTGGTTTCCTTTCGCCTTCCTTCCAAGGAGGGCTTAGCAACCTGATCCCTGCAGTGAAAGCCAGGTGCTTTTGCAATTGCGATCCAGCGTGCCAAACCTCCCTGCTCCTTTTGTTGCAAAGAACATTCGACTTTGCTGTGTTAACATCGCCCAGAGCGTGCCAAATCGCTCTTTTCTTCTCGTCGTTTGGAACATGAGAAATCACTTGGCCGGGTCCTGCATTCCAACTCCTGCCAGTACCCCAGAGAGATGCCTCTGGGAGGTTGCAGGCAGAGCAGGAAAGGAGCGGCTGTCATTGTTGTTGGCCCCAGAACCTGCTATTCAGAGGTATACTTCCCTTATATATGGAGGCTTCATTTTCTCGCTGCGGTAATGGCAGCAGATAGACCTCCTCGTTGAATTTACCTTGGCTTTTCCCCTTCATATATATATATATATTTTTAAGGGAGGATCTTGGAGTCCAGCAAGACATGGGTTGAATTTCTCATGGCTTTTTAAAGAGATGTCTGATTTGGCCACAGTGATACATGCCTTAATTGCTTCCTATTTGGATTACAATAACATGCTCTTCCTGGGCTGCTGCCTTTAAAAAGTGCTACGAAACATCAACAGGCCCAAAGGGCTGCAGCCTGATGATTGACTGGGGCTGGTTATACAGAGCAGGCGACTTCCTTGTTACAACCGTTCCAGTAGCTTGTTGTTTAGTTGTTTAGTTGTGTCCGACTCTTCGTGACCCCCTGGTCCAGAGCACGCCAAGCACTCCTATCTTCCACTCCCTCCCACAGCTTGGTCAAACTCATGCTGGTAGCTTCGAGAACACTGTCCCACCATCTCGTCCTCTGTCGTCCCCTTCTCCTTGTGCCCTCCATCTTTCCCAGCATCAGGGTCTTTCCCAGGGAGTCTTCTCTTCTCATGAGGTGGCCAAAGTCTTGGAGCCTCAGCTTCAGGATCTGTCCTTCCAGTGAGCACTCAGGGCTGATTTCCTTCAGAATGGAGAGGTTTGATCTTCTTGCAGTCCATGGGACTCTCCAGAGTCTCCTCCAGCACCAGAATTCAAAAGCATCCATTCTTCGGCGATCAGCCTACTTTATGGTCCAGCTCTCACTTCCATACATCACTACTGGACAAATACCATTCCAGTAGCTACCGATTTGTTTTTGGCTCCTCATTCATCTGCATATCAGTTCCTGTAAGAACTGCCACCCCCTTCTGGTCTCTTGTGGCTGATTTAAATGCTGGGGAAACCTTTTCAAGGACACTGGCCAATTTAGACAGTTTCCTGATGCTTTGCAAAAATAAGATTCTCAATCTTGCCTTTCTATCGAGTTCTTTACAAAGACATTTCCATCCTTAGTATTTTACCTCCCCACCCCCACCTGCTTCTGTCCGCACACGGCTCACGAAACCAGTTAGTTTAGAAGTCTTGTCTAGATAAGCTTGGGTTGCACCTAGTGCCTATTCTAGATCATCATTCTTTTTAAAATGACATTAGTAAATGTCAACAGTGCAGAAACTGGGAGGGGGAGACCAGGCTGTCCACTGATTCAAAGGTCTAGTTGAAGGAGGGAGGTATAATTCTCTCCTCCTCCTTATTCCAAGGCAAACATTACTGTATTTTTTGCTCTATAGGACGCACTTTTTCCCCTCCCAAAATTAAGGGGAAATGTGTGTGCGTCCTATGGAGCGAATGCAGGCTCCTTGGCTTCAGCGATAGCAACGAGAGTCTTGCTCTCCTGGCTTCAGCAAAAGGAACCCGAAGCCTGCGGAGCGCAGCGGGAACTCGCGCTGCGCTCCAAAGGCTTCAGGGATCTTTGAGGCTGGCGGTGGGGGAAAGCAGCGGTTCCCCCCGCCAGTCCCAAAGAGCAGGTTGAAAGGAACCCGAAGCCTCCAGACCCCAGCAGGAACTCCCGCCGCGCTCCTGAAGCTGTGGGTGAACGCACCTTGAACGCACAGAACGCACCTTGTTTTAGAGGGGGAGAAGAAAAATATATTCTCCCCCTCTCTGCGTAGCGCCCCTTCAGCGAAGCGGCAGGAAAAATGGAAGGGGCTCCGTTTCTCCTCCCACTTCGCTTAAGGAGCGCTGAGCAGAGAGGAGGAGATTTTTTTTCTTGTTCTCCCCCTCTAAAACAGGGTGCGTCCTATAGAGCGAATAATACGGTATTCTTTCAACCCCATGGAGTTGAGACAGCTTATATCATTTACGTACTGTGCGGTTCTGCAATAGGTGTTCTGTTTGCTTGCTGAGTTTGAAAAGCAGCACATGCGTCGAAGCTCATAAGCGTCTCGAGAGCGAGTGCCTGTTATCTATAATATTTGGATCATTCAGCCTTGTGAAAACACAGATGGCTCATTAATGATATGGGAAGCAGATCTGAGCTTTGATGTTCCATATGTCATAAAGCCCCCCTTAAGACTGTCTCCACCAGAATTAGAGCTTTCCCATGACTGGTGCTGCCTTCTCCCACTTAATCTCCGCTGCACATATAAAACACTCTCAGCATGCTTTTGGCAAGAGGGTTGAATGAAAACGCTGACATGTGGGAGATTTGTCAGGTCATCCCCAGATTTTGGACCCAGGATTGCTAAGCAGTAAGTCAAATAACAGGGCTTTCCTCTGCCATTGCCAGTTCCCCAAAGAACTGAAAATTTTAGCATGCGGACAGCAGAAAATACCTTGCTTTACTGCCTAGCCACAGAAAGTTGTGGGTCTGTTTGCTCTCGTTACGATACGATAATCTTTATTGTCACTATCCCATACAGAACAACGAAATTGAAAAATCTACATAAGACATTCAAAAACCAAGAAGCCTGCTATCCCAGCTATCCCAGCCTGGTTAGCCCCCTAAAAACTCTGATACCCCATTTTTAAATACAATATACTCCCATAGAGACTCCTTACGCTGCGTTTAAAACCAAAATCGCATTTGGATAGAAACTGTTTCTCAGGCGGCTAGTCCTAGTCTTTATAACCCTGGACCTTCTTCCAGAAGCTGAAAGAGATCATTTCTGGGGTGCGCACTGTCCTGCGCTATCTCTGCAGATTTCTTATGGTACCTGGAAGCGTAGATTTGATCCAAGGTGGGAAGAGTGCACCCAATTATTTTCTCTACAGTCTTTACAACCCTGGACAGCATTGTTTTTTTACTTGACTGTTTAGCTCCCAAACCACACACACACAGACTTAAGAACATAAGGGCCTGAAGGAACAGGCCAATGGCCATCTAGTCCAGCATCCTTGATCCCACAGGGGCCAGTCGGATGCCTGTGGGAAACTTGCAAGCAGCATTCAAGCACAAGAGCAACTCTCCCCTGATGCGACTTCCAGCAAGAGGTACAGTGGTACCTTGGTTCTCGAAACTTAATCCGTTCTGGAAGTCCGTTCCAAAACCAAAGCATTCCAAAACCAAGGTGTGCTTTCCCATAGAAAGTAATGCAAAATGGATTAATCTGTTCCAGATATTTTAAAACAACCCCTAAAACAGCTATTTAACAAGTTACCTCTATTGTTGTTCTGTTAATGGTTCTCTTGGCTTTGCAGCTTTTATCCGTTTCCTCAGTCACACAATCAATCAGTAGCTGAACTGGGTTCCACACAGTCACAAAAACAAAAGCAACAAAAATGCAAAATTAATAGCAAAAGCAGACAGACCTCAACGTAGCACTCAGAACGGAAACATTGCACTCAAAACGGAGCATGTTTGGCTTCTGGAGAAAGTTCGCAAACTGGAACATTTACTTCTGGGTTTGCAGCAATCGGGTTCCAAGTTGTTCAAGAACTAAGCCAGGGGTCAGCAAACTTTTTCAGCAGGGGGCCGGGTCCATTGTCCCTCAGACCTTGTGGGTATTGGCTATTTGCAGATTAGTTGCGCTGCAGAGAGCTTGCTGGGGAGACCACACATTACAAGGAACGCAAAATAACCTTTTGCTAGGTTTTAACAACAAAAACAAAAACTCCTTTTACATTAATTATAATATATCAATAAGCATGACCCAGCCACCAGGGTACTGAGAGAACTAGGTGCTGCTCTTTATATACTATACCCAACAGCTTAATTATCACACCTTAGCAGCATCTGTTATACTGCTTCACAGCTGTAAAACTGGGTCACATTATTTGCTCTGGCCCTTAAAGAAATACACATCTTGTGGAACAATAATGAACCTTCAGATTTAAAGAGACCATTCAACAGTGGGGGGCTGGACTATAAATTTTTTTGGGGGGGGGGATGAACAAATTCCTGTGCCCCACAAATAACCCAGAGGTGCATTTTAAATAAACACACACATTCTACTCCTGTAAAAACACCAGGCAGGCCCCCAAAATAACCCAGAGGTGCATTTTAAATAAAAGGACACGTTCTACTCATGTAAAAACATGCTGATTCCCAGACCGTCCGTGGGCCAGATTGAGAAGGCGATAGGGCCGGATCCGGCCCCCAGGCCTTAGTTTGCCTACCCATGGACTAAGCTGTTCGAAAACCAAGGTACCACTGTATACAGAAACTTTGCTGCCTCTGACTGTGCCTGTTTTGACTTGACTACGGAGCGTGTCTCCAGTTTTAACCCGAAATAAATGAATGTTCCCAACCAATATAGAAGGACAGAATATCTCCATGGCTAATGAACAGTGTGGTCAAATGAACAATACTGGGCTCAGAAAGCAGCTTCAACTTCCATTGCCCGCCCCAACCTCTTCCAACCCCTTATTCAGCATGAGGTCTCAGACAATCCACTCTCTGCCTCTCCAGCAGCATAGATCTGCTCCTGTAATCCGCCTCCACGAGCCTAATTGAGGGGCAGCTAGATGATGGGAAGGGAGTTGGTTTAATTTTTATTGTGGCGTTTGGAGGAGAGTCTCTCTCTCCCTGCCTTGTGTGTTGATCAGAGGCTCAGGAAGCAGCATCACTGCCTTTTTTCAGATTTGCAGATCCTGAGGCAGACGGGAGCAAAGGTTATCTCGTTCACCTCCTGACTCAGAGAAGGATTGTCTCCTCCTGGTGCTCCAGAGCCTGACCTCTGCATGCATGAAACCAGAAGCCCGGGCACCATTTTGCTAAAGAGGCCTGCGGTCCAAATATTTCCTCGTGAAACAACTCGACAAGATTAATCCTCGCTTTTCTAGGAGCTTGTAATTGCCTGCCTTAAAGGACCATTAAAGTGTAGCACAGCAGGAACACCCCCCCCCCTTATCTTGGTGCAGTACATTGTTGTTGTTTAGTCGTTTAGTCATGTCCAACTCTTCGTAGCCCCCTGGACCAGAGCACGCCAGGCACTCCTGTCTTCCACTGCCTCCCGCAGTTTGGTCAAACTCATGCTGGTAGCTTCGAGAACACTGTCCAACCATCTCGTCCTCTGTCATCCCCTTGTGCCCTCCATCTTTCCCAACATCAGGGTCTTTTCCAGGGAGTCTTCTCTTCTCATGAGGTGGCCAAAGTATTGGAGCCTCAGCTTCAGGATCTGTCCTTCCAGTGAACACTCAGGGCTGATTTCCTTCAGAATGGATTGGTTTGATCTTCTTGCCTTCCATGGGACTCTCCAGAGTCTCCTCCAGCACCAGAATTCAAAAGCATCAATTCTTCGGCGACCAGCCTTCTTTATGGTCCAGCTCTCACTTCCATACATCACTACTGGGAAAACCAGAGCTTTAACTCTACGGACCTTTGTTGGCAAGGTGATGTCTCTGCCTGCCTTAAAGGACCATTAAAGTGTAGCACAGCTCTCCTTATCTTGGTGCAGAGCATAGCATTCTGAAAAAAATCAGCTTTCCTTTTTTTTAAAAAAAAGATCTATGTGGCAGGTTTCTAGCTCTTATGGCTGTGAAGGTGGAGGAGTTTGGATTTGATATCCAGCTTTATCACTACCCGAAGGAGTCTCAAAGCGGCTAACATTCTCCTTTCCCTTCCTCCCCCACAACAAACACTCTGTGAGGTGAGTGGGGCTGAGAGACTTCAGAGAAGTGTGACTAGCCCAAAATCACCCAGCAGCTGCATGGGGAGGAGCGGGGAAGCGAACCCGGTTCACCAGATTACGAGTTCACTGCTCTTAACCACACCACCACACTGGCTCTCATTAGACTACAAGCGTTATTCCAATCCTACGAACGATTTGAACTGTTTACAATGATTCTTAAGAGAAGTTATAAATTTCCCCCATTCCTTATTAAAATTTAGGTCTCCCTGATTTCTGATTCTTCCAGTCATTTTAGCCATTTCAGCATAATCCATCAACTTGATCTGCCATTCGTCTCTGGTAGGGACTTTATCTTCTTTCCATCTCTGGGCCAATAACATCTGTGCGGCCGTGGTTGCATAAATGTCTAGTCTGCTCCCTTGGGATTTCGGCACCTAGAATTCCTAAAATAAAGGCTTCAGGTTCCGAGATGACGATGAAGGCAGCACCAAACCACAAAGCCACCAAACCACAGTGAAGATGTGTTTTCAAAGTGTGTGTGTGCAATAGCCAGCGAGGTGTCCGACTCAGATTTCTAGACCTTGGGTTGGAGTGAGGCTCAGTGCTCAGTTTTTCTCCATGCCTGGCGAAATCCCAAGGGAGCAAACTATATATTTATGCGACCACGGCCGCACGGATTTTATTGGCCCAGAGATGGAAAGAAGATAAAGTAAACAGTTAAAATCGTTAGTAGGATTGGAATAACACTTGTAGTCTAATGGTGAATTTTGGACACGAGGGACAGGTAAAAGATTTGGATTATTATGAAATATGCAGGAGGAAATGATGAAGAATAGGACCCACAAAGGGGAGGAGGGAAATCCAGGAAATTCCTTGGAATCTTGTTTCTATGTGGTATAAGGCAAAGGTAAAGGGACCCCTGACCATTAGGTCCAGTCTTGGCCAACTCTGGGGTTACGTTGCTCATCTCGCTTTACTGGCCGAGGGAGCCGGTGTACAGCTTCCGGGTCATGTGGCCAGCATGACGAAGCTGCTTCTAGCGAACCAGACCAGTGCACGGAAACACCGTTCACCTTCCTGCCAGAGTGGTACCTATTTATCTACTTGCACTTTGACGTGCTTTCGAACTGCTAGGTTGGCAGGAGCAGGGACCGAAAAAGGGGAGCTCACCCCATGGTGGGGATTCGAACTGCCAACCTTCTGATCGGCAAGTCCTAGGCTCTGTGGTTTAACCCACAGCGCCACCCTATGTGGTATATGTGACTGTAAAATTTTAATCTGAAAAACCAAATAAATACATTTATTATAATAATAATCGTGATCTGGGAACACTAGGAACTGCCTAGTTTAGAATCTAGCCCTGTAATGTCTGCACTGGTAGACAGCTGCAGCGTCCCAGGCAGGGGACATGCCTGACCAGCCCTACCTGAAGAGGCGGTGATTGAACCGGAGTCTTCCAGTGAGATGGTCCTTCTTTTCTCTTGTCTCTTGCATCGAGTGTTGAAAGGGCACCAGAGAAACTTTGTCCGCTTCCCCCCGTTGCAGCGACTTCTGTTCTCTGACGCCGTGATGTTTTTGCATCCAGATGCAGATTACGTGGAGATCAGGAACCATTTTGTGGCCGCCCGGCCGCACCTCCCCGTCATGTTCATCGCCACCCCCAGGGACCGCCGGGACTCTGCGTGGACCAAGGAGAAGCCTTCTGCGCAGGTGAGTCCAGCTGCAGCCTTCGTCCCCTGGTTGGCCAGGTCAAACCTTTCCTTCTCGGCCTGTTTCGATCTGTCCTCTCTCACTGAAGCCTTTTCAACACTGCTAAAATTGCTAAAGGATGTTTGAGGTGGCAGTGCATGGGTTCTCCCCAGTGCTTTTTATCTGGGGGGGGCTGCAGGGGTGTGCATACGCTTAAACATTTTGTGAATCTAAGCTTGGCCTCATTGAGAGGGCAGTATTTCACAATGAGTAAGAAAATGAGTGTATCCCTAAACATTTTTTTAGGAAAAGTAGCACTGGTTCTCCCCTTCCTCATCTTTTTAAAAATATATATATATATAATTTTTTATTAGTTTTTTTAACATACCATTTTCAACAATAAGTAAACATACTTCTATATATGATACAATTTTTTTACTTCCATCAATCACATCTGAATTTTTTTCCAATCTATTCATTTAATATACATTTCTAGGTTAAGCTGACTGGTGCAAGGTCACCCATTGAGTTTCGTGACGGAGTGGGGATTTGAACCCTGTTCTCACAGGTCGTAGTCTAGCCCAGTGGCTCCCAAGCTTTTTCAAGCCACTGCCCCCTTGGTTCTATAAACTCACGCCCAGAGCCCCCTGCCGCACCCTATAAAAAAAGTCTTTATTCATAATGGCACACCCCACTCAGGAAGGTAAAAGGTAAAGGTAAAGCGACCCCTGACCATTAGGTCCAGTTGTGGCTGACTCTGGGGTTGTGACGCTCATCTCGCTTTATTGGCTGAGGCAGCCAGCGTTTGCCCACAGCTAGCTTCTGGGTCATGTGGCCAGCAGGACTAAGCTGCTTCTGGTGAACCAGAGCAGCGCACAGAAACGCCTTCCCACCAGAGCGGTACCTATTTATCTACTTGCACTTTGACGTGCTTTCGAACTGCTAGGTTGGCAGGAGCAGGGACCGAGCAGCGGGAGCTCACCCTGTCGCGGGGATTCAAACCGCCGACCTTCTGATCGGCAAGTCCTAGGCTCTGTGGTTTAACCCACAGCGCCACCCACGTCCCACTCGGGAAGGTAGTAACACAATAAAATTCAAAACAGTAGCAGTTACACCTTCATTTGGAATCCAATTTAATTCAACTTTTTAAATATTATTGTTTTATTGAAAGAATTTCCGTTATAAAGAAATAAAGCGGTACAGAGGAAAGGAGGGGGGAAAGAATAAAGATGTTAGACACACACACACACACACAAACAAACAAACAAACAAACAAACAAACACACAATGTAGTTTCTTTAATTCAACTCGATGATCCAGTGCTATCAGCTTTTCAGAGTCTGATGGTCATTTACACCTCCTGCACCTCCCTGCCGCCTCCTTGCTTCTTGGCGCCCCTCTAGGTTATTCCCCCACCCGCCAGGGGACGGTACACCCCACTTTGGGAACCCTGCTCTGACCTCTACACCGCACTGGGCCTCTCCTTTTGAGGAAGGGTCTGGAGGCAAAGGCACCACCTGGGCTGGCTGCCTCCGAATGTCCTTCGCTCTCCTGCAGAATCGAGCCAGGCCTTGCAAAGGTGGTGGTGGTGGGGTCCTTCCAGATACACCAGCTCTTGCCAAGTGCCCTCGCGTGCCCACCGGCGGCGCTGGCTGTGAACGGTTCTTAAAACCTCCCCCTCTCTTCTGCCTCTTCTTCTCCCCCCCACACCAGGTCCTGCAGCGCCTCTTGGTTTTGGCTCAGGAATCTCTTCAGGTTTTGGAGAAGCAGCTCATGGACCCTCTGGGAAGCCAGGATGTGAAGGCAAGTTTATTTAGTCATTTATTCTATTTAAAGAAAATAATAATAATAATTTATTATTTGTACCCTGCCCATCTGGCTGGGTCTCCCCAGCCACTCTGGGCGGCTTCCAACAAAGATTAAAAGCACATTAAAATGTCACACATTAAAAACTTCCCTGAACAGGGCTGCCTTCAGACGTCTTCTAAATGTCTGGTAGTTGTTGTTCCACATGGCGGGCGCCACTACTGAGAAGGCCCTCTGTCTGGTTCCCTGTAGCTTTAAAACATTAGACATTGTAAAACATTAGACATAAAACATTTCCTGATACAGGGCTGCCTTCAGATGTCTTCTAAATGTCAGGTAGTTGTTTATCTCTTTGACAACTGATGGGAGGGCGTTCCACAGGGCGGGTGCCTCTACTGAGAAGGCCCTCTGCCTGGTTCCCTGTAACTTGGCTTCTCGCAGTGAGGGAACCGCCAGAAGGCCCTCGGCGCTGGACCTCAGTGTCCGGGCAGAACGATGGGGGTGGAGATGCTCCTTTGGGTATACTGGTATTGATTGATAGAACACTGTGTCTGTCTGTCTGTCTATCTGTCTATCCATCTATCATCTATCTATCCATGAAATCATAGAATTGTAGAGTTAGTTGCCTATTCCAACCCCCTGCAATGCAGTCAACAAAATAGCCTGTTCAAAACTGTTCTGTAGGCTTGTTGGCAGACCTCGACCTGCCAAGGAGTGACAGACTTGATTGGGAGGGGGTTGGCCAGTGAAGCAAGCAGCAGGAGGGGCTGATAACCCTCCTAATGGTTAGTGAAAATCTACCCTCTTGTTGCTTGTCCATGAGATCTAGTCAGCAGAGAAGACGCCTTTGCCCTCTTCCATTCAGCCATTCAGGTTTCTGAACCCTCCCTCGTCCTTCTCTTTCCCATGGCAAACACACCCAGTTCCTTCAACCTTTCCTCTTGGGACTTGAGTTCCTCCTTTCATTTCATTTTTTTAAAGGTAAGTTTCTAGTCCTCGTGACAGAAGGTTTGTAAATGACTGAATAAGAGTCCCAGTAGAGGGCTTGGACGTGGGGCTTCAGTGCCTTGCAATAGCTGCTCCTGCTTCCCTGTCACTAACCAATCCGGTTTAAATGCACCATGGATGCTTTAGCAGAGTTTCCTGCATTGCCACGGGGGTTGGACTAGATGACCTTTGGTGACCCTTCCAAATCTACAATTCTGTGTACCGTATTTTTCGCTCTATAGGACGCACCGGACCATAGGAGGGGGAGAACAGGGGAAAAAATTACCCCCCTCTCCGCTCAGCGCCCCTTCAGCGAAGCGGGAGGAGAAATGGAGCCCCTTCCAATTCTCCTCCCGCTTCGCTGAAGGGGCGCTGCGCAGAGAGGGGGATAGCAAAGCGAAGCCTGGAGAGCAAGAGGGATCGGTGTGCACCGACCCCTCTCGCTCTCCAGGCTTCAGGCGGCTATCTGCAAGCCTTCGGAGCACAGCGGGAACTCCTGCTGCGCTCCGAAGGCTTGCGGATAGCTGCCTGAAGCCCCCGGAGCGCAGCGGGAGTTCCCTGCGCTCCGGGGGCTTCAGGCGGCTTCAGCAAAAGCAACGCAAAGCCTCCGGAGAGCGGGGGGAGCTCTCCCTCTCCACTTCGGAGGCTTCGCATTGCTATCGCTGAAGCCAAGGAGCCTGCATTCGCTCCATAGGACGCACACACATTTCCCCTTCATTTTTGGAGGGGGAAATACGCATCCTATAGAGCGAAAAATACGGTAATTACTCAAAATGATTTTAAAACTGCAGAATGAAATGTCACAAGTCATCCTTCTCTTCATCTTTCATAGTCGATTTGGTTTCCAGAGGGGCAGCTGCATCAGTTAGTCTCTGTGACTGCTGTAAATCAAAGACCATTTGTGCCTCCTTAAAACAGTTAACAATTTTTTGTGGCACAATTTTTTGATCACTCGAGGCCACTTTGTCAGGTGCATCTTAGTTGATGAAGGCTGCGGAATTGAGTTTATCTTAGCTCTGCACTTCTGTGGCTTTCGTCATCAGTTTTCAATTCGTCATATTTTTTGGAGGGGAGAGAACAAAGACTCGATTCAGATTCTACCCCCACCCCCAGCTAAGTCTCTTCTGCTGTGTTGCCAGTTTGTTTTTGCAAAGCTCAGGCGTGTCACCATAGCTGCCCAGAGTACCGCACTCATGATGCATGATGTTGCGCACGATATGGTTGTTGTAGAGCTGGGCGTTTTAGGGAGGCCCACGTGAGAGTGACAACCACTTCCTGAAGCTGCCATGCCGTTGCAGCACCTCTTCCAGAGCTCTCTGTTGTTCTTATCTTGCGGTTTGCGTTGCAAGCCTGCGAAAGTTGGTGATGTGGGTTCCTCCTTGGCAGGGAGAAAGCTGGTGAGCAAACTCGAGAAACTCAACTCACGGTGATTCAGCATCTCTGCAGATGCAGAAGTGGAGTGCTGTGCTTGCATGACTTTCAGCTGCTGAGATCTGATATTTTTTATATATATATATATTATTTCCCAAAAGACCAGCTTACTGCAGACATCGCCAGCTTAGTGCTAGGCATCACAGCACCAAGATAATAATAATAATAATAATAATAATAATAATAATAATAATAATAATAATAATAATAATAATTATACCCTGCCCATCTGGCTGGGCTTCCCCAGCCACTCTGGGCGGCTTCCAACAAAATACTACTACTACTACTACTAATAATAATAATTTATTATTTATACCTCGCCCATCTGGCTGGGTTTCCCCAGCCACTCTGGGCGGCTTCCAATTGAACACTAAAATACAATAACCTATTAAACATTAAAAGCTTCCCTAAACAGGGCTGCCTTCACATGTCTTCTAAAAGTCTTGTAGATGTTGTTCCCTTGACATCTGGTGGGAGGGCATTCCACAGGGCAGGTGCCACTACCGAGAAGGCCCTCTGCCTGGTTCCATGTAACTTGGCTTCTCGCAGTGAGAGAACCGCCAGAAGGCCCTGGGATCTGGACCCCGGTGTCCTGGGTGGAGATGCTCCTTCAGGTCTACTGGGCCGAGGATCGCATCTAAAGCAGGGACGTTATCTTTAATTCGTTCCCTAGTGCTGGGCAAGTTAACCGTGGTACCCTCTAATCTCTCGCAGTGCCACGAAAAATAAACAAGCACCTGACCGTCGGCCACATGCAATCCAGCGAAGGTGCCCGGGCGCCAGGATGGCGCCTGACGTCTCCACCATCTGGAGGTTTATGTCCGGGGAACCAAAAAGTCGTCTGGTCCAAAAATGGCACCTAGGCATTCCGTCTTGGCGACTGTAACCCTGGTTTAGGGAGGCACCTGGCTTATATATCTGAGTTTCTTTCTTTTTTTATACATTTTTATTAATTTTTAACATATTAATTAACATGCATACAACAGAACTTCTCATCTTATACAATATTTTTTGGACTTCCGTCAACACCTCTGATGATTTTCCGTACTTATCACTTATTATGCATTTCTTAATTTCATATTACCTTTAAATATCTTTAACTAATAATTCTCCTCATTATCTTTTTTTTTTTTTTGCAATATTACTAATAATTCACCTTACAAAACTTCTTGCAAACCTACTAGAGTAATCTGTTCATCACAATTGCTTTTCAAATAGCCTGTAAATTTACTCCAGTCTTCTGAGAATCTCTGGTCCCGCAGGTTTCGAATCCTTCCTGTTAGTTTATCAAATTCTGCTTAGTCCATCAGTTTCATCCTCCATTCTTCTTTTGCCGGTAATTCTTCCTGCTTCCAGTTTTGTGTCAATAGTATTCTTGCTGCAGTCATTGCATAGAAAAACAACTTACAACCCTTTCTATTTATATCATCTCCTACAATGCCAAGTAAAAATGCTTCTGGTTTCTTAATAAATATATATTTCAACATTTCTTTTCATCTCATTGTAAATCATTTCCCAGAAGTTTTTCACTTTTTTACATTCCCACCACATGTGATTAAATGTTCCTTCTTTTTCTTTACATTTCCAACATTTATTACTAACTTTATACATTTTAGCTAGTTTCACAGGCGTAATATACCATCTATACATCATTTTCACCACATTTTCTTTTAGGGCATTGCATGCAGTAAATTTTAACCCTTCTTTCCACAGTTTTCCCCAATCTTTTAACTGTATATTATACCCAAAATCTTTGGCCCAATGTATCATAACCGACTTTACCTACATATCTGAGTTTGATACATATCTGCAGGAATCACAGCTCAGTCCGTCACTCTTGCACTGCTAACCAGAACGCGATGTGCAGCTGTGGTTTCTGAGACGCTGGTTGGGCCTGGGTGAGATGATGCTAGCTAGCAAAACTTCCTTCTCCCCCTCCTTTGGGACTCGGCTCCACATTTCCCTTGCCGCTGAGCCCCATTTTAACATGGTTTCCCCCTTGGCAGATGGTCTTCCGCCCTCCTCTGGACTTCTACGACGTCCTCATCCACCTGAACCCCAAGCAGATCCCGAGGCACCTGGAGGCAGTGGACCGGCCGGCCAAGTCCTTCTTCCGGGGAACGTTGAAAAGCAGTGCAGCTGTCAAAACCTTAGCTTTCCCGGTGGTGGATTACGACCCGGCTCAGCTGTACCTCCGAGAGTTGCAGGTAAGCAGGAGCTGGGGAAAAATAACGCAAGCGGATGTTACGGGCTCACTGTAATCATACAAGGGAGCTCCACCAAATTGTTATACGTTTGCCAGGACTGAGTTCATATCAGAAGCATAGCTGTCAAGCGTCCCTTATTTGGCGGGACAGTCCCTTATCCCAGCGCCATGTCCCGCTGCTGTCCCTTATTGATGATGTCCCTTAAATTTCCCGGGTCTCAAAGGAAGCAGCTCCTCTCCCTCTCTCCCTGCTGGCCAGGGAGGAGGGAGGCTCCAACTGTGTTGCTTGGCTGTGTTGCTCACCCAATAAGGACTCTAAGAACAACTGGGGGGGGGAGCTTGCATGCCTTGTGCCAATCAAATCGGCCGCATTGCCTGGGGACTCACCTTTGCTCAGCGCTTCCCAGCGGAGAGGCGACGGTGGTTTTCCTTGCTGCATCCCCTTTGCCGGGTTGCTGCGCAGTGGGAACCACCGCTTGAGGCTTCATTTGGCTGCTGGTTGACTAAAATTTTGGCTGCTGATCCCTTATTTTCGAGGCTGCTGGTCCCTTATTTTCAAATCTGTAAGTTGACAGCTATGATCAGAAGAGAGGAATCATAGAAGCCAAGAGTTAGAAATGGGCAATGAGGATCATCTGGTCGAACCCTCCTGTGATGCAGGAATCTTTCACCCAGCGCGGAACTCGAACCCACCACCCTGTGATTTAGAGTCTCATGCTCTACCGACTGAGCTATGTCTGGCCTAGAGTGCTTCTATATTCTGTTTTTTTAAAAAAATATATATATTTATTACTTTTCCAACCATTTAAACACAACAACAAAGAAAAAAAAAGAACAATACAATGCTTCTATATTCTGTTGGAAGCTGCCCAGAGTGGCTGGGGAAATCCAGCCAGATGGGCAGGGTATAAATAATAATATTATATTATTATTATTATTATTATTATTATTATTATTATTATTATTATTATTCTGTTTGGTGTGCCTGCTGGCCATCTCCTCCTGCAGGATACTCCATTCCGTCCCCTTCCCCACGCAGTTTTCTCCTTCACAAGAGTTGGTCAGGATTCCGTTGCTGCTGAGCACCCTCAGCCAGGTTTTACTCAAGAGTAGACCTGTTGAAACGAATGGACCTAACTTGGTCATGTATTTTATTGGATGCACTCTCAGTAAAATTTAGTTGACTCTCACCTTCAGTTCCTTGTTGGGCTGCTTGACACCTTCATTATACACCTTCTGGCAAATACTAAATGCACCTTATTTAACATGGCTTTTGACACTTGAGCTGTGTGTGGTTTTTGTATTGTTTGTTTAATTTTTTTTATTTTCAATGCAAAACTACAACAAAAATTACAAACATTGAATCCAAAATAAAGCAGTTCAAAGAAGTAAAAAAAAAGAAAAGAACATGAGAAAAAAGAAAAAAACAGACAAAAAAACCCCAAAACACACATCTACAAATAAAACCATATCATCATTCTAATCGTTACGTATGTATTTACACAATGATTTCCTTCCTTTGTTCTAAGACCTCGAAATTTTTACTCTTTCTAAATTGTTTGTGTAGATTACCTCTGTCTTTATACTTTTTACACCATTGAGCTGTGTTTTTTTAGGACCCCCCCTTATTTCTGAGACGGGAAGCTGTTTTAAATATTGTTTTTAATACTGTGTTTTGATGTTGCAACCTGTCTCTGCATCCATGACAGTTGGATTTCCGTAGTAAGTGGAAGACCTTTGTTGATTGATTGATTGATTGATTGATTGATTGCATTGATTGATTGCATTTATATCCAATCTTTTCCTCCAAGGAGCTCAAGCTGATGTACATTGCTCTACCTCCCCCCTTTAATCCCCACAATGACAGCCCTGTGAGGGAGCCTCAGGGATGGTGACCGGCCTGAGGTCAATCATTGAGATTTATTGGCCGAGTGAGGAGTCCAGCCAGATCCTAGTCCAACACTCTTAACTGCTACACCACACGGTCTGTCAGTAGTGTGTGTGTGTGTGTGTGTGTGTGTGTGTGGTGTTGGACTGACATTCTAGCATGGCCAAACTTCACAGCTGCCTTGTGGGAAAGGATGCTTGCCTACCAAACTCAGCAGACCTCAATCTGCAGAGCCAGCCAGGCAGTTCCTGTGTTCTTAGAATGGGTCTCCGTCTGCAGAGCAGTTGCAATATAAAAATTAGATGGCAGGGAGGTGTGGGGTGGGTCTGAGCAAATGCCATCACATATGGGGGTCTTCTTCCCTCTGCTGGAAAAAGGCACATGCCAATGGAACCGTTTACCTTCCCGCCGGAGCGGGACCTATTTATCTACTTGCACTTTGTGCTGCTTTCGAACTGCCAGCAGGAGCTGGGACCGAGCAACAGGAGCTCACCCCGTCGCGGGGATTCGAACCACCGACCTTCTGATTGGCAAGTCCTAGGCTCTGTGGTTTAACCCACAGCGCCACCCGCATCCCGCAGCCATCAATAGCCCACTCCTCCACGAATGTGATTAATCCTCCTTTAAAGCCTTCCGAGCTGGTGGCCATGCCTGCCTGCTGTGGCAGCGAGTTCCGCAGTTTAACAGTTCAAAGATTTCCTTTGCTCTGCCCTGAATTTTCCAACGTGCAGCTTCATTGGAAGTCCACGGATTCTGGTGTCACAAGGCAGGAAGGAGAACTTAACCCTACCCACTTCTTCCCGTGCCGTGCTGAGCTTTAGAAATCTCTATCTGCAGCAGAAACCTAGGCAGAAACTTATAAACGTAAGCAGCAGAGCTGCTAGCTCTCTCGGCTGGGACGTAGATTGCTTAATGCAGGCCGCAAAGTTGCCTCAGAGGTGTTTCCGCTGCAAACTCCAGGAAAATAAGATAAGAAAGGATTCGCCGTGCAGGCAAGCAGCAGCTGCTTTTGGAGAACCCGGTGACACCCGGGCCGTTCCCAGACCCAGCCAATTCTTCGACAATCGCCTTGCAACAGAGGAAGAGAACAGGTTCTGTCCTGATCTGTGCCTCCGCTGACTCCTGGCAAAAGGGAAGTTTCCCAGGCAGCGCATAACCCTTCCTTGTTATTATTATTTTTTAAAAGCATCTGGGATTTGTTGCTTCAGCAGCTTCTGAATCACGCTGCGGTTTTTAACAAGAAGGTTCAGAGTCCTGGCAGGCCACATAGCAATATTCCTCCTGACATTATTAGCACACACGGCTTCATTCAGCAAGCGTCCGTCATGAGAAAAGGCGGGGGGCCCAATTAGCACCTCGTATATTCCTCTGTTAAAGCTATGGTTTAGCCGTATAGTTAAAGCTCTGGTTTTCCCAGTAGTGATGTACGGAAGTGAGAGCTGGACCATAAAGAAGGCTGATCGCCGAAGAATTGATGCTTTTGAATTCTGGTGCTGGAAGAGACTCTTGAGAGTCCCATGGACTGCAAGAAGATCAAACCTCTCCAATCGGAAGGAAATCAGCCCTGAGTGATCACTGGAAGGACACATCCTGAAGCTGAGGCTCCAGGACTTTGGCCACCTCATGAGAAGAGAAGACTCCCTGGAAAAGTCCCTGATGTTGGGAAAGAGGGCACAAGAAGGGGATGACAGAGGACGAGATGGTGGGACAGTGTTCTCGAAGAGACCAACATGAGTTTGACCAAACTGCGGGAGGCAGAGGAAGACAGGAGTGCCTGGCGTGCTCTGGTCCAGGGGGTCACGAAGAGTCGGACACGACTAAACGACTAAACAGCAACATATTCCTCTGTGCCCAGATATAAACCGTAATCTCTCAGGCTAATTAGTATAATAGCATCATCATCCGCGTGTGAGTTAATGCAGTGAGGCAGAGGTTTTCAACCTGTGTGTCTCTGCAGCCTCCTCCTCTTTCTCCCTATTCATATTAGCCATCCTTGCTGCAAATCTGCAAATCTCTCTCTTGATCTCTCTCTCTCTCTCCCTGATTCTGGCCTGAGTCTTGCCGCTGCTGCTGCTCCCACTTATGTGCATTACATCCTGTAATTAAACCCCACAGGGGAGCCACAGAAAATATGCAGTTGGTCAAAGGCACCGTGGGCTCAAAAGGGTTAGAAAGCCACTGCAATGTGCAGTGGTTTCAGTTGCACTCGGTCAACTGTTTCAGTTGCGCAAACTTAAACCTGGCCTCCCTCGCCCTTTGCAGGGGCAGCCTGAGATCGCCTCCTCTTTACGGTTAATCTGTGGAACTCACTCCCACAGGAGGCATGGGTTTTCAGTTTTCCCTTGAGGTGCCTGGGTGGCCACTGTGAGAGCAGGATGATGGACTAAATGGGGCATGGGCCTGATCCGGCTTTTCTTTTGCACGTGCATAGGCTGAGTTATTAATCAGGTCATGTGAGGTTAGTGGCTGAGCCAACGACCGTGCAGACTTAATATAGTATTAATTAGTTATTAATATATATTAATATATTAATAACTTGCTGCATGCAAATAAAAATATTTGTATACCGATGTTGCATTACACACACACACACACACACACACACACAATTTACAGCAATAAAAACATAAACCCATACAATAAAACCATTACAAAATTAAATAGCAGGCATCAGTTAATCACTGTGGAAGAGTGTACTCTTAATTGCCCTCATAGGCCTGGCAGAACAGAAACCGTTTCAGCAGGCATTTTTAGAGCTAGCACAGGAGGAATCTCTTGTGGCAGGGAGTTCCATGGGACTAGGACGGTGGTGCTAAAGGCTCGGTTTCTTGGTATCAAATGAACCTTGCCAACTGTGGGAACGATTTAATAACGCAAAGAAAAACTGGACCCAGAGGAGGGGTTTGATGGAAGTGAGATTTTGACACGACTGCAGTGGTATACTTTGAGGGTAGAGCTTCGTAATAATAATAATAATAATAATAATAATAATAATAATAATTTTTATTTATACCCCACCCTCCCCAGCCAGAGCCGGGCTCAGGGCTGCTAACACCAGTAAAATTACAATAAAAACATAATGGGGGGGGGGGAGAAAAATAAAAAAACAATTTAAAATACAGGTTAAAATGCCATTTCAGTTCCCCCTTCTTGTCCTTGTGCAGCAATAAAACTGCTAGCAC